AACCGCAAATATTTTTAGATAAAAAAATTAAGAAGTTTCCGAGATATTCATTTTTTTCTGATCTGAAACACTTTTGTTTCAAAGAAAAATTCTACTTAGAAAAATCATCGTAAGTACAGAGTTCTGCCGACGATCATTTTTTTCGTTTTGACATATACTTTTTGGTGAAACAAAAAAATCTGTAGTCAGTTCAAAAACATGCTCAAAAATACAAAAAAATGACTTATTGCAACAATGACTTTTTCAGTAACTGTTATACTTTTCATAAATAAATTCACGTGACTCGATTGCTATGCTTGGATTAACTTAACATTAATCTAACAATTTATTTTTAACCGGATAGCACTATTACACTTTTTATTACCTGTTTGCCCAAACACGTACCAAGTTAATTATACTAAAACAAAACCATGTACCTGACATAACTGGCTTTGACCGGTACACCGAGGCCTGAGGTCATTAGGTCAAATATTCCCAACCTGCACCTGCTGGTTGACCCAGTTTGGAGAACCACCTAAACCCACTATTATTATGGTGAATCATCCAAAACTCTTCCAGTAAAAAATACTACAGTTTTTATACAACAAATTGGTAGCTAGAAATGTGTAAGTGGCTCCTACGTTTCGTTTCAATACTCCTCCGTATGGATTAAGAGACAACAAAAAATGTTTTGTTGTCATCATTCTTATGTTACGAGTTCTTGTTACTAACATTTGGAAAATACAAATATGACAGTGTTCTTCTACCTCTGCCGATTGTCAAATCAATCAGACTCGCCAGGAGATTTGTGATTTAAAAAACATCCTGTGACTAACTATTTTTAAATCAGATAAATAGCAACCGACAAGTGATTGAATAACAATAAGTACTGCCTTAAAAATTACAGTTTAATTTAATTCATAAAAAACTGATATAAAATTCAACTAAGCAAATCAATTGTCAAAATCGTTTGTATCGCCTGTATCGGACATTCACAGACATAAAGGCGATTTCGGACGACGAAACGACTTAATTCTGCGTTCGCGAAATTTACCATTATTTCTGACACAGTCATCCGAGTGACACGAGCGCTATTCTCACGTGGCCACAACAAAGCAAGAAGGGAGTGTTGAGCTTTTTAATCAACTAAACGAAATTGAAATGAGTCACATAAAACTTACTAATGCGGTTTCCACATGCCATCGTCTACGTTTCGTATTAAAAAAGAACTGACCCCCATCATACAGAACAGCTGCTACGGTTCGGTGGTGGCAGCCATAAAAAAAGGAACATCCTACGGAGGAAGTACGCTTCCCGAGGAATGGTTTAATTCCCTTTTAATGAGGTATCGCGCGAGGGAAAACGCAGGGTCAGGCGTGTTTGTCATGCGACTCAGAGAAGTTAGTCAATGCGACAAGGGTAGCGACGTACGTTTAAAAGAATGGAAACCCAGGTTTATTTTTTGAAAAAAAAAAAAAACGGTTAAATCGCATTTCAGGCCACCTTTGTGGTAAGTATTTAGACCAGGGCGGATCTGTTTTGAGGTGGATGTGAGAGGGGCAAGCAAATTTTTTCTGGATTACCTTCAGTACAACTCGCAAAATAAAAGTGTAGATCATCTCGAGATCTGGGCGAAGTCTGAAACATTTTCAAAATTGCAAAAATGTTTAAAAAAATTTAAAAAATACCTATTTTATCTGAGCTTTTCTGTTTCTCTATCTGCTATTTTCACTTATATCTTGGAACCTATGCATTGTGGAAGAATATTGAAGAGATAAAAAGTTTTAGAAGTGAATTTTACACAATATATTGTGTTAAAAATTTTTACATTTATTACTGAGGTTGCAAAATAGCAATAATTGATGAAAAAAAGGCAAAATAATCAAGTTTTTTTGATAATTTTTTTTAACTATTTTAATTGCTCCGAGGGCATTCTAATTTTGTAAAAAAATCTTTAGAGTGTAATAAAACAACATACCTAATTTCATTAAAATCGGTTCGACAGTTTTCGCAAAATATTTTTTTTTTTAATTTTTTGAATTTTCAAAATGTTGCACAGCCTCAAATAAAGCATCTAGACACTCCTTTTTTATGTTTAAACACAATTTGCAATTTAGTTTTTTAATTATAATTTTAAAGTACTATTTTTTCTTTATTTTATCTGTATTTAACAAAAAAAATTAATTTCCATATAATTTTTTTTTAATTTGTTTAAACAAAAATTATTTAAATAATCGTATTGTAATTGCAAGCGCCTTTCCGAGTACTGACTTTAAAATTATAATTTCTGTAAAAAACTAAATTGCAAATTGATAAATGTAAATAAATGTAATCTAATTGTTTAAAAATAAAAAAAGTGTTAACTTTAAAAATTTACTATGGCCGTCCAAATCAACCGATTTCAACTTTTCAAAAACCATTTGAAAGGTCGAGCGGTCTTTTCTATGTGAAAAAATTTTCAAGTGTCTAGATGCTTTATTTGAGGCTGTGCAACGTTTTGAAAATTTGAAAATTTTTCAAAATTTAAGAAAAAACAATTTTGCGAAAACTATCCAACCGATTTTAATGAAATTTGGTGTGTTGTTTCATTATACATACTCTAAAGTTCTTATCAAAATTAGAATGCCCTAAGAGCAATTAAAATATTTTTAAAAAATTAACCAAAATAAGTACTTGATTATTTTGAATATTTTTCATAAATTATTACTATTTTGCAGTATCGGTAATAAATTTAAACAATTTTAACTTACAGTATATTGTGCAAAATTCAATTCTAAAACTCTTTTCCACTTCAATATTCTTATATTCTTCCAAATTGTATAGGTTCCAAAACATAAGTAAAAAACTGAGATAAAATAGACATTTTTTAAATTTTTAAACATTTTTGCAATTTTGAAAATGTTCCGGACTTCGCCCAGATCTAGGAATCTACACTTTTATTATGTGAAGGTATTCCAGCAAAAATTAGCTTGCCCCCTCTTACATCCAAGAATTTCGACACATCCGCCCTGATCTAATTGTAATTTTACAGAACTTACTCTCTTTGAAGTGAAAACATCACTTTCTATTCTTTTGTAAGCAGATATAGAGATGGTATTCGTACAAGATGTTATGGAAAGGGGTACCACACATTCCGAGGATGTTAGAATATCGAAAAATAAGAGTTTTTTCTGTGGAATCAGGCGCCTGTTTCATGAGATTTGCTATCACCCTCCGATTTTTTTCAAAATAGATATCGGTTAAAATACATTACAGAAACACCTATGTGAAACGTTGGAATTAAACCCGAGACTTCAAGTGAAAAACGGATTTCACGGCAAATACTTTATTTTTTCGTAGATTTTATTAGTGCAGCGAACGATCTCCTCTTTTTGTCCATTATGTTCTGTGTTCCTTCGCCCCACGTGATTAATAACGCCATCAGCAACACTTCGGATTGTATTATGTCACGTGACGAGAACAAATGCCTCGGCACATGATGTAGTCGATGGCAACAAATATTGGGCGAGTGCAAAACAATGAAAACTTTGTTGATGTTAGGTATTACTTACAAAAGTTAAAATTTTCACCCATCTTCCCAAAATAAATCTAAAAACCTTCAATGAATTCATTTTCTACTGCCATCGATCCTTTCTTATCAGTTTTTTAATCGCATTCACTCGCCATTGTTTTGAAAAACCTCTGACCTTGATTACTGCGACTTCCGTTTGGACTAAAAATATTGCGTGATCGCAAACACCTGATTTTACATCTAATGTTCGCACCACTTATCGATAGCTTTACCGGTACTTACGTAACAAACAGCGCAATATGAAAAATATTGGACAACCACTTGGCCTCTATCCTAGGACGTCTCTTTTATGGTGGCCATTACTGGTGCTTAAAAAACACTTAGTGTCACTCAATATCAGATAATAAGGAAGAACATCATTAAAGTATAATGCACAATTGAAACTAGACCGAGTTCGCGTCTGTCCGCTTTTCGACGTGACTTTTTGAAATTCTTTGCAATTTTGCTTTGCAAAAATATCCGGCAACAGCGCGAACAGTTAGGCATTGCCACTTTATTTAATCAAGGCACAGACAAATTTAATTATTTCAAGTTATATACTGTATACAAAAAATATCTATGAGTTCCATATAATAAGTAGCAGAATCAATATTAAAATATTGTCATATTCAAGGTTAAGGTTTTATAACGCTAAAGAGGTCTAGGGTTAACAACACGGGTTTCAAAAATAAAATCAAAGACTAATGTCACTGATTTTTTTACTTCTTTTTAGTTTAGTTCTAGCATTTTTTTATTTTCAAGTTTATTCAAAGCAAAGGTCGCTTAAGCCAGTTTCAAAAACACTTTACATTTTAAAACAGGTTGAGCAAAACCTGCTATCCCGGCTGCTGTGTGTAATTGTTTATAACAATTTATGAATGCAAATTATATTCCTTAGGTGATGTCATCATTACTAAAAGGAGTCTAAATTGCATGTAAATTCAGTAGTAGATCGACATAACCGACTTATTTTTAGAAAGATTACGGCATATTAATACTAATTAGAACTTCTTTTTTGACTTATACAAATGTCGCCTTTGCCATAAACTGGATAAACTATGCAAATTATGAAAAAACCTTGAATTTGATTAGTGTGTTTTAAGAAGCAGTTAAGCATTATTATCCGTTTACACAACATTTTACGATTTCTAGAGTTTCAAATATTTACACATTTCAAAAACATCAAAGCCTACTAAAACCTTAAAAGCGCTCTGCTGGCAACAAAAAGCAAATCAATGCATCACACTGTCAAAATACTTACATTATTTTAGAATGTCATGTACCTATTTTTCTGTAACTACATAATAAAACAAATGGCTTTGCCAGTTGTGATCAAAATAAACTTGTACTGGTTTAAGCAATACTCCTTTTAAGGTTATAATTGAGGCGTATGTGAGAAGAGAACGGTTCATAATTCTCAGAGCAAATGCTATTTTAAACGTTTATTTCTCAAGCAAACGCTATAGTTTACCTGTTTCCCTGTCCTAGGCAACGTTTCCATGTTAGTCCCATTGACCACTGGTGCTTTTTCTTGGGTAACACCCCCGTTCGGGGTGCTACCATTGCCCAAAGCCATCACAAATCAAACAGTCCTGTCTAAACACAAACAAAAGTAACACAACGCGTCAACATGAATCCTTTCACTGGATTTTAAATAACATCTTATCGCACTGCAACACTATTTATCGATGGAAATAACCCCGGTGACATACACCGACACCACATCAACTTCCAACATTAATATGATATTTTTTGCCACTGTTCAGCATTCGTGACCTGTATCAAACCGCCGTCAAGCGGTGTTCGTCGCATCTCTTTCTGTTACGTGCGGTGGGAGCGGTAGGGAGAGCGTCTGTGATTGGTCGCAGCGTTCGGTGCTGCGCAGCCGTAGGGATGCCACCGCCACTACCGCCAGCGCTTCCAAACATGTTTTCTTTTTATTTTGTTTACTAACACCATTTAATTTTTACTGGCTTTCGTGCCGAGGATAAAATAAACGTGGAAAGAAAAATCTGTTTAGTTGCTTGGATTTATAGGAACATGGCGAAGTGCCAGGACCTGTAATACCTTTCGCATGAGATGTAATATCTATTACGTGTAGCATACCCATGGGCGCCGAATGGGGAAATAGGAAATATTTGGCTTGGCGTATTCTATTACGCATAAACGTGAGTCCTTTTCAAAAAGAAAGCAAATAGATAAGTTGTGTTTGGTTTTGCGGGCCTAAATATATAAATTAGCCTGTGGTATATTTCTAAAGGTGCCTATTATTAGGAAGGTATATTTTAAACTGTAACGGAATATATGTTGGTACCTTTTATTTTGTAATACTCATGAAATGGTGGGATACGTCTATTTAATTTAAATTTGTATTTTTATGTAATTATTAAATTTTATGTTTGTACTCAGCTCAGGCGAGTAGCATGAGGTGTGCTTGTTACATTTTTCTCAAATTTATGGTACATATCACTGGAAAAACATTTTCCTGTCAATTAGTCCATTGTAAAGATTTTATTTAACACTATTTGCTAGTTATTTAACCCTTAACCTCAAAAATGGGAATGGTAAAGAACGGGGCACTTCTATGTGCAGGCCCGGATCCAGAGGGGGTGGCGATGTGGCGATCGCCACCCCCAAAGCACAACATTTTTTAAAGATCTTCAATTTCTCCAAACGACAACAGGCAGTTAGTCGATATTAATGTAAGTAGAAGGATTCATTAGTGTCAAACTCCTCTGAAAAAGTGCCANTACTCAGCTTCAGCGAGTAGCATTAGGTGTGCTGGTTACATTTTCCTCAAATGTATGGCACATACCACTGGAGAAAATATTTTTCTGTCAATTAGTCCATTGTAAGGATTTTATTTAACATTATTCGCTATTTTGCGAGTTACTTAACCCTTAACCTCAAAATGGGAATGGTAAAGAACGAGGCGTCAATTTGCCAAAGAGTTCGCAGCAATCTCTCCTGGCTAGTAATTTATACTAGTAACTGTACAAATATAAACTTCGATGTGCACCACAACATTAGTTTTAATCCACAGAATCCAAAAAATCGTTTATATACAATTTACTACCTCAATAGACAGGTCCGGACTGAAATAATTTACATTTAATTAATTACGTGCAATTTTATTATTTATTATATTTTTATTTATTTATTTACTGATGATTAAAAAATGGTATCTTTGTACTTTTTCCCTTCACTTTGTATAATCATTGCAAACATATTTTTTTTCTTTATCTGATCATAAAAATATAAAACACCAGAATGGCGCCCAAAAAAAAGTTGACAATCGCACATCAAACATTGACTGACAATGAGTTGTGTGAAAAATTATGAATTAAAAAGTAGATTGTCAAGTTACAAAAATATTAATAGTATCTTAATAATTGGCTTAATTTTATAGTTCAGTTCGAATGCATTCAATCCAGTCCTGTCAAATGTATACGTGTGTAATGGCTTCCTGTTGCATTGTTGCATTTTTCTAAAAATGTTCAAATAATGATTGTTTTTAACAAGTTACTAATTACTGTGTCATTCTATTTTTCATGTGACAACGCATTACAATTTATAATTCGTTATATCCTATTGTTAATCATTTCCTTTTAATTGTAATCGTACAGAGTATATCGCATCAAGGTGAATTTAAACGGGTATAGGCATAAACTTTTAAGTTGTTTCGCTTAGCCGGTAGATGGCGCCAAAGTAGAAATTGTTTATTGCAAATAACTTCGAAACGCCTTAGAAGATTTTACTGAGATTTGGAATGATAGAACTTGACTAATCCACTTATAATTTTGTAGAGGATCATGTTATAACTTCTTTTTCCTTAAAGATAAATGTAAAATTTTGGTAATTATGTAGTAGTTTTGGATTGATCCATTTTTTTTATTAGATCATTACTAATCGCAGATTAGAAAATATAACTTACTACTTCGTATCTCTTACCGTTTTTGAGATTCCTGTAGTGAGAAGCGAATTTGTTAACAACCTTCTATAGACACGGGTATTGATAAATTTATATAAAACCTCATTTCTATTTGAATCCACCCCTTTCAACTTTTTTTATGTGCGCCACTGACAGCTTCATATACATATTCATTTAGTGAGTGAAAAATGTGAAATATTGGTAATTTTCTAAATATTTGTCTATGAATTGTTTTGGCAAAAGAATGTCCATTTTTTTGCTTCACTATGACTTTTTTCAATTTTTCTTATTGCTCTAATTTTATTGCCAAGATAACCAACATAGGTCATATAATTCATAAATCATAATTTTAAGTTATAGGTACTTTTTGCTACGATTAATAAAAACCGTAGCAAAATAGCTAGGGAACAGCCAGTAACTTTGTTATTTCTCAACCTAGAATGATGCGGTTTGGTTCGCTGGAATCTCAAGACGAAATGCTAGAGGGAAATAATTAACAATTCGATTTACTTGTTAATGGAATATTACCAACAAAATCGTATCCATTCTATTACCCTTTTCCGGAATTATTCACGCAGTCTGGAAAAATAAATGTTATTGTTACATTTTTTCCTTTTATAGTTAAATACTCATTACCATCGCAATTTTCATTCTTGTTTCTCATTATCAACATCATCACGCCGGATTGCGCAATTTATTGTCGCAAATTCAATGTCAATTTGCGAATGATTTTAATAATAGGTAAACCGGAAAGAGGTACCGGCAATTCCAAGTAAATCGTTGATAATGCCGTGATTTATCCCAGATAATTACATAACAATTCACTGTCAGGGCAATATGCGCAAAAAAACAGCGCATCCTTTTCAGTTGCATATAAAAGTGACGTTTTCGTTAAATAGACTTATCAATTAAATAGCGAATAGCTCCGGAATAGGTGGTGATTGAATACGGTGCCAAAATGGCGGCTAAACTAATTTTCGTGGTTGGTCTTCTAGTGGTTTCTTTAGTCGCTGTTTTGGGGGTGAGTTTTTTTTTTTAATTCATACGCTGCTTGTGTATACAAGACATATAACGTTATTTTTCAAACTGCGCCAGTTTTAATAACTGCAGTTTATTTTTAAATAACCAAAATCATATCTGCCAATTAGTGATGATTTTTAAGTGTCGTTTTTGATCTAGCAAGTAATAAAAAAAGGTTTTTGAATGAAATTGACAAAACTAGATGTTAATTTGTAAGTGCTTTTTTTAATTTTAGGCACCAAAGCCGCTCAAGGAGGAAGATCTTCAGAAAAGCGTCATAGAATTTCTCAAGCAAGATAAGCAATTTATAACAGAATTTGAGAAGATGAAGTTATTAGGTAAGTTTTTTAATAAAACCACATATCATAGCATGGCAGAGCTTAAATAAATGCAGTCTTTTATTCTCTAAAGCCGGGCCCAGACTTATTTTTCAGTTAAACAATTTTTTTTCAAATATTAATCATAACTTCTTTATTTAGTTTTGCAAAAAATCAAATAGATAATTTCAAAGATGCTTTAAAAAATGTTCCGTTCTACGTCGACAACAATAATTTTACAGATAATAAACAAAGCACGATTTTAATGTAAAAAAAAACAAATTTCGACAAAAACGAAATACCTTTTTAGGTTATTATAACTTTATAACGTTTTTGTATGAAAAAATTAAAAGCAAAAACGGTCATAGACAACGATAAAATCGAGTTTTCGCAAAAGTGTCAAAATGCTCAGACGCAAACTTATTTGCGACGATCTGTTTGTGATCCAAATTCGTGACAAAAATTCCGAGTTACCTGTGTATCCACACATCTAATGAGTATTTTATTCCAGGGAACGGCGAAGGCTTGCCACTAAGAAACAGGCGGCAGACTGAAATGGATGACAATATTCCTGACAGTGCCGAGGATGAAAAACCCGGGTTTTTTGACCGAGCGGCTAAGTTCATAGTCGACCTTTTGCAGAGATTTCTCAAATGGGTTAATACGGACTCTAATTAGCGAGGGGGTTAAAAATGTGGCTGCCTGGATATTCGGATAGACAGCAATTAGCATAATTGTCTACTTAGTATTGTTTATATACCCTAGGATTTATATTACTGTAATTGCTAATTACTTCCGATAAAACTTCTATTGCAAGGAAATGAAGGAAGCCTTACCTGATTTTATATGAATTTTTTTTATCAATAAAACATTAATTGTAAAATTAAATTTAAATAGAAAATAAAGGATATCCACTAACAACGGTGTAATATTAATTTATAGGCTAAACAGTTAAAATATGATTTGCCACTGCGCAATATCAAGTTTCGAACGAGCAAAAGCTGCTCGGGAATTTGCTCTTTTTGCATTAAATAGAGCTTATTTTCACGGTAATTTAAAAAAAAGAGGGAAATAACCTACGCCTCTCTGTTCCCAAGATAGCTTTTTTATAACGTTAATTGTTAATGGGACATATTGGAACGGGATTTTAGAGACAATTGAAAGGGTTTAACTTTTATTTTCAGAAAGTTTTACATTGATACTTCATGTAATAAACGCGATAGCGCACTAAAAGTTAACGTTAATAAATGGCGCGGACGCGCGAGCGCCGAGCCCGCGCATGCGCGTGAATGTCGCTCTCGTTCGCGCGAGATTTTCGACTTGAACGTTTCAAATTCAGTTAGTTCGGTAGTTTTTTATTACAGTATTACAAGTTTCAGAACAAATTGAATCTCTTTGAGGCACGCTTTTTTAAATCTGAAGGCGAATTAGGCCAATATTGCCCTCTTATGTTTCGAATCAAACGCGATCGCCTTCGACTGTGGGAAACTGTTTCTAAAGCACTAAAAACAAAGCTAACATGTTCATTTAAATCAACATAAATATTTGGAATAACCTTTAAAATGATTACTGTAACTTCACCGGAAATATAATGCCATATAATTATACCATAAATCATAGTAGTCGCTTATTATGTGGATTTGTTTCAATTGTTTGAATGTATCTCTAATATTCATTTGTTTCCTATGCCAGTAAGATGTGTTACTACTTGCTCATATTTAATTTATTTTTATTCTCTCTGGTAAGAAACATCTCCCCAAAAGGCAAAATTAGGACACTTTAAAACGAAAATGTATACATTTTTAGGCATGTGAACGGTCCCTAGAAGTAAGGGGTGTGGAGGATTCCTGTTGGACGAAAAACGTGGAGGTAATCGACAGATTACAATACACCGGGAAGAGCATCTTAAATTTTGCGAAGAAAAAGCTTGGAATGGAGGTCGAGGCGGGCGACGAACCTCAAAAGGTAGGTAATATTTAAAAAATTATATTTAGGGCGTCTGTAAAATGTGTACCTGCCTAACTTATTATATAAACGTACTTTTTTTCTAGTGTGACTACTACAACTGCATATTTCAAGAGCTCAAAATGGTGAGGATAAGAAAAATATACAGGGTGCGACTAAAATATTTGGCCACATTTATTTAATGTCAAAATGGTTTTTCAAATTGCAAAAAACAGTTAAATATGTAATTTTTTTATCGTTAACACTCGCCCTTATTCTTTGGCCAGCGTTTTAGATGCACCTGTTGATTCACACGACTTACAACGCGGATTGTCTTTTAGTTAAGCGACGGACATCCTTCCGAGGAAAAAATTATGAAATGGATAAAGAACAATATTATATACAATCATGCAATAGTCCTATTATCTCGGGTCGACACTTGCAGCACACAACTGACAAGGAGCATCGGTAATAATAATTATTTTATTGAATCATTGTTTAAAAAATTAATGACCAATATCTGTAGGTTCAAACACATTTTTTTCTGTGGAAGTTCTGGAGGAAACGACTCTAAAAAGTGATAAATCTTATAAAAAAAAATTTACACGGAATCTAATTCAAGGATTTTTTTCAGATGAATATAACGAGCCCTTAAAGCTTCAAGGTAAATGCGAAGTCGTGGCGGAATACATGAAATGCATGTTTGCGATGGAAAAAAGCGATGTAAGTATAAAATATCCAAGTCGCAGAAATTTATTGTTCACATCGATTCATTTAGAAAAAAAATATGTTTTCGATTGATTAAAATTTGTAGACTGCTTTGATTTTAATAATTTGGGTGATGATCTAATTTAATTTTTCCAGTGTCCAGTATTTCAATATCCATAAAGGAATTTCATCAACAAGACATTTTTTTCAGTCAAATGTGAAACGGTGTTTCAGTAAGTGGCATAAAAAAATTATGAATATTATAACTTTTGCAATATATCTTACAGATCAATTTTTTTCTGTTACTGTTACTTTTTTCCTTTAACTTTTAAAATTTATAAAATTTTATCCACAAACACTGCGAAGGTACAAATTTCAATTATAATGATCCGTAAAAGTGATGTCAACTGGTACAGTGGAGAGATATTGTTCTTAATTGCTTAGAATTATAAAAACTCTCGACAAAAGACCGCCCCAGAAAGTTTAATTTACAAATCGATTCAAAATGCATCGAACGGGTAAATTTTTAAGGTAAATGAAACTAAATATAGTTCGTCTTTATAAACACTTAAATATATTTTATGGAAATGATGTTAAATACATAAAACGTTTGTATTGGACCCCTTTCGTATTGCGAAACACGGAGATCCCTGCACTCATTGGACTTACTGCAAGAAAAATAACAGAATTAACGTTCCTTCGAAAAAATAAATTGTAGAGCTAGTTAGTAAAAACGTAATACACACTACAACCCAATTATATAGTGAAAAATTTTCACAAAAAACGGATGATGTGTAGAGGAACTATTTATAATGCAAGGGTTTGTGGAAGGGAATTCAAAAGGTAGGTAAAAACAGGGGGAATTTGGAATAGGGAAAATTTAATGAGAGTGAATCAGATGGGAAGACTACATTAATCATTAATACTGGATGAAATACGCAAATAAAAAGATCTTGTAAAACGGGAACAAACAAAACAAGTCACTAAACCACAAAACAAAAACAATACCTAGAAATAGATGAATCTATTTCTTGCCACCCTGAAAAAATTAAATTGAAATGAAATAAAACTTAAAAACTATCGGGACGTTGAATAAGTTCTCGCTGTTTTCCAACAGATGGCATTACCAGAACTGTTTAGTTGGAAAACCAGTGTACGTTGTTTTGCCGAAGTGCAGACCACTTTTTTTCCATAGTGTTGAATTTTGTACCGAAAAAAGTGTATTGGCGGGGAATTTTATGCACTACTTTATCCAAAAGAGATCTGTGAATTGTTGTTGAGACTTACGGCTGCCGTGCTCTGTCGCAAACAACATGTAGAGTTCGGTTTAGTCACTTCAAAAATAACGATTTTGATGTTGGAGATAACGAACGCTCTGGCGCACCGAAACAGTTGGAAAACGAAGAATTGGAGGCGTTACTTCCTGAAAAACTTAAATTGGACGCTAGCTAAACTTACAAAATCTTTGAATTGATCGTACAACAGTTTCGAAACATTTGAAAGCATTAACAATGGTGGAAAATCAAGGACATTGGGTATCGTACGTGTTGAAGCCAAGAGACGTCGAATGGCAGAAAATAAAAGGTTATTTGCATCGTATCGTAAAAATGGGTACGCTAAGGGTAGAAAATCATGGGGTAAGCCTGGCCACACATCAATATCATCGGCAAAGCTGAATATCTGTCGTTTTAAGCGTCTGCTCTGCGATTGGTGGGATCAGCTGGGTACAAACTGGTCACACTGAATGAAACCATCACAGGAGATTGCTATCGACTACAATTAATGCGTTTGAGCTAAGCATTGAAGGAAAAATGGCCGCTATATGAGCAGAGACACGACAAAGTGATTTACAGCACGACCATACTCGGCCACATGGTGCAAAACTGGTGAAAGCCTACTTGGAAGTCAGAAAGATGGGAAAAAGTGGTGCGTAGCGATGGACAATACTTTCAGTCACGTTTTTTTAAACAACTTTTTTAAAAAAACCGTTTTAAAAATGGCGAGAACTTATTCAACACCTCAAAATATGTTTTTTCGTGTCTTCAACTTAAATTTTAACGTCTCTCATGTTTCTTAAACATAATCTATATAACCCTCTCTCTTTTGTAGTCTTAAAGTCTTACGGGTCTAACGTAGAGAAGATACGGTTCAAAATTTGTGATATAAGCCTAATGTGCAACGTAATTATTAGCAGTCGCTTACAACTCACTGCACCTTCGTGTGACATATTACTTTTTGGGCACACTCTTTTGGCCGTTCTTCCCTTATCATTAGAAATCGGTCTTTCAAACTTTAAACCACTCAGCTACTTTTTGATGTGAATTTTATGTAGATTTTTGGTAATTTTGAAATTTGAATAACACCACTGCAATGCAGAAACAAATAGTTGATCTCGATTTGAGACTCGAATGAGAAGAAAATGATCGACACAAATATCTTACGACAAATGACGTAGAATTTAAAAAAAATGACATTTACTAGCATAAATTTTCATTTTTAGTTTAATGTATATCCGTATTAAAACAAGTTCAAACACGATCTCACGATTTGAAGTTGTCGAATCGAAAGCACCAAAAAGCGAAAACCGAATTAAAAAATTTGACTAACCTTCTTAGAAGCAGCACCAACTTTACTCTTTTTGGTACCCCTCACTTTCTTCATCCTGTTCTTACGTTCTTTACGTTGTTTACGGGTCTGCTGTTTCTTTTCATATAAACCGTGTCGGGCCAGCCTGTGCTTAGGTTCAAATTTCTTAGCGAAATCTAAAGTGTCGTAAATAAGAGCGAAACCTGTGGATTTGCCACCCCCAAAGTTCGTCCTGAATCCAAATACAAAGACTACGTCAGGTGTAACCTAAAAATGTTATTACGTTAATGTGATGAAGATTAATAAGTCAAATTATAATTTACTTTGTACATTTTGGCTAGTTTTTCCCTAATGTCCGTTTTCTTAACGGAAGGTTGTCCCGGATGTAGGACATCTACGACCATTTGTTTACGAGCCAACAGCCTGTTGGTCATAAATTTTCTGGTCCTAATTGTAGCCGTTCCTTCAGTCTGAAACATAAACAGTAGTCTTAAAAATATTTCAAATTAAGATTTTTAGGTTATGTACAAATAAAATATGTGTATTAGAATGTACTAGTAGTAATGCCTTATTGATGTATTATTGAGGTAAGTATATACGATCTATAATAATTTATTTCCAACTATTTTCATGAAAAATGTTAATTCAGTTACAAAATTTTTGTTTGCAAAATAACTATCTGTCAATTACCATGTTGGATTTACAATAAAATAAATATAAATTAATCACTATTTGCACAAAATATAAAAATGAACATTTAAACAACAATATTTTGCACTAATATTCATTATATTTTTGACCAATAAATGGCGGATGATCTTATTAATTTTCGATTTATTACATACCATTGTCGTAGGAAAAAATTCTACTCGAAAAGAACGCTACAGCGGGAAAAGTGGCCACTTTGGAAACTACGACCATGTGCTTCCGACATTTCTAAAGGCGGGTAATTCAAATTAAATAAACGTGGAGGAGAATGTTTCGTAACATAAAATTTCATATTTCATTTGATCGTACTCTTTTAGGCTCATAAAGAATTTAAATATTTTATATTTCTTGTTTTAATTATACAGTTACAAAATTTAACTGATCAAGGAAAATATTTTGACAAAATTAAAATAAAACAAGCTTGCTTTATTTAAAATATATTAAAAGTACATGTAACAAACATATTTCATATAAAAATCCTAGAGAACCTTCATAAATGTTTACAAGCCACAGGACCACTGATTTTGTTTGGAAGTCATTTTATTTACTTGGCACTGGCAATTAAATTTTGGTAAAAAGTAAAATTGGTGCAGTTTTTCACATTCTAACCGATCGGAGAAAGCATTCAAAGCACTCAAGTGTAGACACAACAGTTTGTCATTGTTCATTGTAAACGATCATTAAATTGATAGACGCTAAGACTTTTGGTTGACACTACCAATCGTGCAATGTTAGTTGCCTAAGCCTTGCGATCATGTGGATTATAATTTACGAATGCTCCGTACATATTTAGATGGGCCACAAAGAGCCCAAGATAATTAAATTAATTATATAATCATAATATATATATAAATTTTTAAATACAAACAATATGTCACATATTAAATATTATTTTGTTTGGCTTTCAGGTATTTTTTATGTCGGATTGTAAAATACAATGATATTTTTTTATTTGCATAATAAATATTAGGTTCATTCTCCCTTTTTCATATCCTTAAACTGCACGAGTCTGGTCAACGAACTTTCAAAATATGGGATTTGTTTTTTTTTATCACGATCTGATTGTTTAGATCTACTCTGAAATTCTACAGCTACTCGCCGAATAACAAAAGTTAAAATTGTTAGTAAATGTTCACAATATGCATGCTTCTCTAGTTCTTCGCAAAGATATTTAATAAAGTGCGAACCCCCTTTATCATTGCGGAAAGCAAAGTGGCCTGTAAAAGATTTTAAACGATAACAAATGATAAAAATGGATAATTAATGAAAAAAAAATACCTTTAGCAGTCGCATACATAATGCAGAAGTCGCTATAATTTGGAATAGTATATGGTGTAACGCGACCATCGGTTTCTGTTCTTTGTTGTCTATATATTAGTTGAATTCCTGAGTCCAATTTGTTACCTTGGCAACATTGCAAGAAAAATAACTTTGGTTTACCTAAAATTATTATTATTATTATTATTATTATTATTATTATTATTATTATTATTATTATTATTATATTTATTTTACTACAAAAAAATATTTCATGTTAAGGTAAATTTTTGATAAGTATAACCGTACCCTGATGTAATACCTGCTAGACTTGGACATTTATCTGCTGTAAATTGGTTCCAAAACATTTCACTGGGATCGTAAGTGTCATCGAGAGCTTCAATTTTATTCTCATCTCCATGCGACAGCACGAAGAGAAGAAAACAATTATTGTCGGTGTGGTCCATTTGACGAACTATTGAAAAATATACTGTACAATATTCAATTATAAGTAATTCAATGAAATAGGTACCTTCATTGATGTGATATTGTATTTCCGACACTTTCAAATTTTTAAAGAGTCGTACGTCGAACCCCATGTTAATTAGTAGATATTTAAGTTTATTTTCATCGACATCCGCAGCACTTCGCTGTGGGCTAATTGAAAACCTGTCATGGCTGAATATGTAGGCAAAACCTTGCTTATCGTGGTTCATAATATAAAAGGGATCATCTCTAGTAACTGTAGTTGTTGCCGTTAATACATTAGAGGTATTGCTGTAAAAAAAAGTTAAGTGAAGTTTAGCTACCGCATTAATAAACTAGTCACGACAATTAGCGAATAAAAAAATCTTATAAATGCTTAGGTGATTTTCAAAAGGCTGCAACTTGGCGGAAAAATTATCGTAGTGATAAAAAAGAAGCAAATAAAGACAACAGATTACTGATTCTATCATTTCCAATTTAACTGAAAGCGGTCAGAATTTTCGATATTTAAGTGGGACACCCTATATTTTATCAGATATTTTGGTTCAAATTTAAATTTTAAATAATATCAGTTGTTAGACAAAATTCGTTTTGTGGTTTTGGTTTGAGTGCATGAAAGAAAAACCACGTGCCCCATTTAAATTTCGAAAATTTGTGTCCATTTTACTAATGAAAAACAAGTTATAGAGTGGCCTAATTAGTTACCTGGTACATGATGACATTATTCTCAACGGTATGAGTTTTCCATAGAATCTAAAACCAACTTTAAATTATTGATATATTCTAAAAGCTTCGACTTTTTGTTATAAGTACCTACCAATTTTTTAATATCTCTGTTTTGTATAGAAATAAATTTATAAATTTTCTGTAATATGTAACTTTTCCAGTCTTCTATATATTCAAATAAACAAATTATTTTGTAAACATTACGAACAAATTTGATTGACTTTCAATAGTCTGTATTTTAAATTATAGCTATCCTCTTATTAAATTTATTTTTATTTTGTGTTTTTTTTATTTATAAGTTCTTTATAGTGCATTATATAGAATCATACATTAGAATCATATAAATTCATTGCACCAAAATGATGAATAAAATAATACATCTACATATATTGAAAAATTAATATACGGGAAATTACAGAAAAGCATGTAGTTCCACTTGCATCTACACACAGCTATTCATTTTGCGCACGCCTGCGCAATGCCTGTTTCATGCCCTTCAACCAAGCTCCTCTCATACGGACTTTTCTCATAATCATACAATATTAACCAAATATGACACAAATGAAAAAAAACATGCATCTTGCGAAAATAATAGTTGTGCATATTTTACACTTACGAGTAAGTATTCCGAACACATCTAGCGAATCTTGAAATTTAGAATGTCAAAGCTTACATTAGTTTTATCATGGTTTATGGTTTTATCCAATAAGCCAGAAGCGCGGGATTCTCGATAACCTAACTATAGCGAATTGTAAAACGTCTAGATAAATCTATTAAATATAAAAATATATGTTTATATGGGTGAAATAATATATTCAATAATTATTTAATTCTTCCAAACAATCAACATTAAAACTGATTACAAAAGTTAAAAAAATCATTGTTTAAATCTGTCGGTGCATTATCTAATCTAATAATGACGTACCTATCAAATATAAACTTTTATCTGTAACAGGAAAAAATGTTTTATCAACATATCCTTTTTATTAACAAATCCCAATTTATTATTATTCTGTATTTGCAGAATAATTTGCAAATAATTACAAACATTGTATCTGCTTAAATATTTATTTGATGAATGCAAAAGAATCCACACAGAAATTTTTTTATTTCTATAATAGACACAATCATTAACAAAAAATATATCAGGAAACTTATTTAAATACTCACCTACTTATTATGTGTATATAATTATATAGGTATAGTAGCAAAAAAAAACAAGCAAAAACAGTGCGTTTTTAATAATAAAAGTACTCAAGATTTTCTGGTGCTCACAACTCCCGGCTTTCCTGTTTCAGGTTTTCCCCAACGACACAAAATATTAAAGTTGACAGTGCTACCAATACTCCATACATCATACTGTGATGGACCATAGACGCGGAATATAGATTTCATACAATCTACGTTCACAATCACAATAGAACTTATAAGCTAAGTTATTTTGGTCATGAGAATCATTAATTTAAATAGCAAAATTTAATTTGCCTTGGCTTTTGACTCATAATAACAAAATGAAGAATTTGAAAAATTTTAAATTATTTAAGCTGGAGTGTTTAAAGAGTAAATACTAGAGGAACACTTTACGAGCACTTCCGAGATAACTGGAACGCAGCTATTTTGCGGTTGTGATGACAGTTGACAGATGAATGACAGTTGACAGCTGTCATTGAATTCAGCTGGGCCGCGATTGGATATTGAATGACAAGAAGTCGAAATCGAGCACTTCTGTTCCAGTGTTTGTTTCTACTTTTTGTACAATAATTTATTGATTGATCTCGAACTCATTTTGCTATTCATGAAAATGTCGCTCAATGAACGGTAGGTATTGTTTACATTCTTTTTTCTTTTCACAGAACGTAATAAAAATATTTTGCAGTGTACAGGAAGAACTGGAAGCTTTAGAAGCAATTTTGATGGATGATATTTCAATAACATATAGTGAAAAGTAAGTAGTATAGGTATGGTAAGTGTTAAAGTCTTATTTGTGGGATAATTTTAGCGGATGCCCTGAACTAGTCAAGTCAACCATATTCCCTTCCACTGCAAATGAAGTTGATAAACAGTATGTTTGTGTTACTCTCGAGGCTAAACTTCCTGACGGTTATCCAGACCAAGAACCTGTAGTCCAGTTACGAAATCCCCGAGGCTTAGATGATTCTACTGTAAATAATTTATATAAGTCCATCAAAGAAAAGTGTATCGAGTTTCTTGGTCAACCTGTAATTTTCGAATTGATAGAGGTAAAATTCTAGGTTTGTTTTGTTGCTTTTGTTTAAGTAATATAGTCGGTATATGTGTGTGCATATACTGACCATTTTATTCTCTTTTAAGCTGATCAGAGAAAATTTGACGGCGAGTAACTTGCCAACCTGCCAGTGTGCTGTGTGTCTATACGGGTTTTCAGAGGGCGACAGCTTTACTAAGACTAAGTGCTTTCATTACTTCCATTCTTACTGCCTGGCAAATCACTTGATAGTTACCAAAAGGCATTTTCAGGAGGAGCAGGACAAGTTACCGGCTTGGCAGAAGTCAACCAAAGGGTTCCAGGTACATAAATCAAATTATAAGTACTTGTACTTTAATTTCGTCTATTTCTGACAGGCTAGTTGTCCAGTTTGCCGGGAGCAAATAACCTGTGATGTGGAAGATCTGACGTCGGCTCTTCCTCCCAAAGAATTAGAATGTGCTCAAAATTTCGAGGTTACCAGCGATCTTAGGCTGCTCCAGGAAAGCATGAAACAGCTCTTTACTTACCAGAAAAGTCGGGGGGGAATAATTGACGTCGAAGCGGAAGAGAATAAGTTACTGCTGATTACCGAGTCCAACGGGGATACGCCTCCTGCTGATAATAACGAGGTAGGTGTCTTTAAGGTGCTAATTTTAATTTTATTTTTAATACGGGTGTTAATTTAGCTTAATATAAAGTTGTTGTGTACAAAGTGTCTCGAATTGCACATGTCAAAGTCTACCTGGCGATAGAAGACCCCAAAATAAGAAAAATTATCTGTTCTTGTAAATATAGATCGTAAAATGCTTCGTTTTCGTTGAAATTAAAAAAATGTACTCCCTCTCGGAAACGGAGCATTCCGTGACCTCTGTTTATACAAACATGTTTTCTTATTTCATAAAAACGTTTTTTTTTTGTTGACTGTTGACTTCGTGATAAAACCGACTGAATTGTAGGATCCGGGTCCCAGTCTGACTAATATAAACGATACAGTATTGAGGGATGGTTTGTTAAGTAGAGGCCAAAGATATGATTTTAAGTTAAACTCCAGTACCAGATGACCAAGGCATTCCATAAAATATCCACCGTCGGTGAATTTAATCGGTGTCGTATTTAAATACTCTTTTAAATGTATTTTCTGTTTATAAGTTGTTGTGTAGGTGCAGTGTTATAAGTGTTTTATTGAATTTATTTATTATTAATAAATGGCATATATATATAGTAACCCAATATTCATTTTTCCTTCACTCTCGCTTGCGGATATCGATCGATTGGTACAAAATTGTACCTTCTCACAAATTCCAAGTTGTTCTGGCGGCATAGTGCATCCCGTCACATAACGAAGTTGATTCTGACACTAAATTTTTGGAACAAGTAATACTAAATTTTTGGAACAAGTAATTTATTTCGTTGAATGGGGTTTCAAATTGTTGGAAGCCATCGGAACGTGCCAAAAAAGTTGGAACTGCTGTGTTAGATTTGTATCCTCAGGGCAAATATAAAGAGACTTTCACTTCTCTACCATTTCAGAGATGTAAGCCACCAAAATTGGTCGGAGCACCAACTTAAAGGGTTATTTTTGGAGTACTCTCACGCTCAGTGTTTAAAGTTAATTACAAAATTTATTTGATAGCAGTAGTTGCAGCCTTTAGATTTTCAGTTATTACCTGATTCTGTTCAAGAGATTAATCTTTTTGAAACGTATAAACTCAATTACGAAACTAACACGTCAAATATCAATTAGTAGGTCCCTTCTGATTTTCTAACCTCAATTAGAAACGTCAAATGTCGGCTAGTAGGTTCCGTCTGTTTTCCTAACCTCGATTATCAAATTAGTAGGTCCCCTCTGATTTTCTAACCTCAATTAGAAACGTCAAGTATGGTGTAGTAGGTTTCGTCTGATTTCCTAACCTAAATTTCGAAATACGCCAAATCTAATCGGGAGACTTATAGCTGGCTGTCAAGTATTAGAGTGGTATGCTATGGAAAAGCGTACACTTAACGTAATAATAAAATACCTGTACATACCGTGTTAATGTTTAACAAAGGAAAGGTAAAATAGCGACATGCTGCGATCCTACTAACGTGTTTGGTGGGAAATTTATTTTGACTTTTAATGGGACCTTTACTGCGATTTTCAGATTGTCTTCGATGTGCTTTCCGGGCAGATTGAATCTCCGTTTCGCTTTATAAAATGGCCATTTGTCGATCGAGGAGTCCCCGGAAAAAGGGAAATATAGAAAATATAAAAAAATAAAGAAAAAATTATGATCAATTAAATCAACGCGACTGAGAATTTTTTGATACAGTTCTTGAGAAATGCACATAAAAATAATTTTGAATTTTTTTACTATCAGAGGCATCTAGCGGTAGAGATTTGCAATGAAAGCAGAGTGCTTCGAATTTAGTTACCTTCTTTACCGGGGCCGCATTAAGGGTTGCATACTCATCAGGCTTGATGCAATGTTGGTTGCCTACGCTCGACAGTCTGTGGCTTGTAGTCATTTATGAAACGAAGGCTCTATGTGTTACCAATAAAGAAAGTGTTAAAATTTCAATATATCTTTATTTATAAAACTTAATAAATATACTCTAACGGAAATATTTAATACCAACCACCACCATGAATTTTTCGATAAACAGTTCCGAATCTAAAACCGCTATGTGCGCCGCCCTACCGATTAATGCGTTGGCAGTATTGGGTAAGGCGTGGTGGATGTCGTAGCGCAACAGTTTCAGTTCCTTCTGAGCAATTATCGGGGACAAGATGTTGTGCACCATTTCTCGGTAGATTGCGCCCAAGTCCGAGGTGTCCCTTAGGGACTCCTTGCACAGTTCGATCCTCGCCGAATGAAGCGGTACGTATCTGAGAAAAAAGTACATGAAGTGAGCGGAAGTGTGTCGACGTTTTTTTAACTTACCTATCTTGTCCCGATCCGCATAATAAAATGTTTTTGAAATGTTGCAGGGTGCTTCGTTGACTTAAACGGTATAAAAACGACTGTCGGGGATCTGTGCAGTCCTTCAAACATAATTGGAGAAGCGATCCCGATTTTTTCCATTTTTGCATAAACCACATACCTAAAATATATCACAAAGTCATGAATTTTTTTCTTGTGTGGGAGAGGGGGTGGCATATTATTATTCGGTAGGTGGCGTCAGAAATTTATTTACGACTGAATCGGGACTTACCCATGTTTACTAACCCGCTACTGTTATATAAAGTTCCTAAATGTGGTCCAGAGAGTGATAAAAAGGTATGCAGTCTTGGTAGAAGAAATTTCATTTGTGGCCTCGTCAAGGCCGACCTAATTATAATATTACCTAGCGAGTGTCCGACGAAACTTACTCGAGTTGGTCTTATGCTACTCGTATCTAAATAATGAAGAATTTCGCTTATTAACCTGCAAAGGAAAAGACGTCTCAAATATGTAACACACGGGGCGTCTAAACGGTCTCGACAGAATTCAACCGCACAAAATTTTACAGTTTCCGAGACACAGCGCGTAATTTTCGTCAATGTAAACATGTTCGTTGCGAACATTTATCGGTAAATAAAATTTTCGTGAAAACTCGCATCTCGCGTTCTCCGGGTGCTGACGAATCGAAAGAAGCATAGTCGTAGATTAGTACATACATTTTTTTTAGAAAAAATTCCGCAGAATAAAAAAAATCAATTTACAAGAGCACAGAAAAAGTTATGACGATTTAAACGCATGTAAAGTACTCCAGGTGGCGCCCTGTGATAATATAAAGACCAGATATCAATTTTTCGTGCCAAAAAACTCCCCTATACAAAGTTTTACAGTTTAATAATGAGGTTACTGAAAAAAAACTATAATAAAATAGTATTCTCAACACCCTGTATCTCAAAAACTATAAAATTTCGGACTTGGGTAACTTGGATTAGAAAGGGGTTGTAGGTTTTTGTCCAGACCTTTTTGAGACACCCTGTACATCGAATTGACAAAATTTTTGTAAAATTGAATGAGTCTGACTTAAAAAATTAACTTTTAAACAAATAATCAGTATTACCGATCCGTCATGGTGTCGAAATCGCTGAAAGTGTCCCCCTGGTTCCTTTCGGACATAAGGAAGTCCAAATAAGCTCCCGGCAACCCCAGCTCTAGGTACGTCTTCACTAGTCTTAAGTCGGCGGAGTTCCCGTCCAAACCGTGCACGCAGACCACAAGGTGCATCCCTTCGGGCGAAAATATCCTGAACTCGTCGCTGATATGGAAGTAAGGTACCGTCGAAGCGAACTTGTTCAGGTCCGAGTAAAGCAAGCCGGGGAACTTTAATTGACTCTTAAACTCCTTTTTTGCTTTTAAGAACGATTTCAGGGGTTCGGTGTTAACTTTGTCGAAATGAGCGTCTGGAAAGTGCGTAAGGTTTATTTTACAAGGTTCGAAGTGCTACGTTACGAAACGGTTACCTTGTTTTTCCGTGGATGATTTCAAATCAAATTGACTGGGTTTCCTTTCGAGGTTAGTTTGAGTATCGACGACGTGGTATAAAAGGTTATCTACCGCATTGATTTCTTCTTCGTTTGTGCCGTTCGTGACCGAACTCGACGGCGATTCTAAATCTCTAAACTGTTTTGGAGGCGGTAAAGCAAAATCCTCACAAATTTGATTAAATTCACAGCCTGAAAAAAAAGTATTCGAGATATCGTTTCGGGATTCGTTACTTCCGCTTACCTTTGTACAAAGGAAAGTCTTGATCGTGTTTTTGATATTTTTTCTTGTGCCCGTTCGAGCTATCACTATCTAAATAAAATTTATTTGATTTATTTTTGATTAGAAATTTCTCTTTGCTTCTTCTGCTGTCCGTACCGAACAGTCTCCTCTGAATTTTTTCAACGTTCATGATAGCACTTGTGGCAGGATTGGTTACGTCAGTACTAGAGGCTGAAAATTTTCGATACAGATTAGTCGCAAAACTTAAAGGATAAAAAAAATCCAAAATTTTTTGGTGATTTTCGAAAGGCTGTAATTTGGCGAAAGAATGTCGTAAAGCAGTAACAAAAAAAGCATATTAAAGCTTGAAATTTTTACTTTCAGGACCTGAGGGTCAAAAATTTTTATCGGTAACAACTTCCACAGAAAAATTTTTTTTAAATTTTTGTGCTTACGTTTTCTTGCGCTAACAATTATGCATAACTTTTTCAGCGGGTACATAACGCATTTATCATTTTACATAATATTTAGAACTATTTTCAACAAAAAGGGCCGACAGGTGGTATTGCCAAAAAAACTTTATTGAAGCCCGTGGACCATTTGAAAGCGTAGCAAAAAATGTTGAAAATTTGTTTCCGCTGGATTTCTTACAATTTCGTAAATTTCGTCAACGATAATGTTTGACTTCCAGATCCCGAAACTAGAAACTTCGAGCTTTAATTTGCTATTTTTTAATTGTTCTACGACCATTCTTCGCCAAGTTTGAAGATGACATAAAAAATTAAAAAAAATTTTATCCCCGAGTTTTTGTGACTATACGTCACGTTTCTGCTAATAAACGGGGTCCGATCTCACCTATTGAACTACTCCTCGAAGTTATCCAGCCGCTCTGCTCGCTCGTGGTAGACGAAGTGGAACTACTGAAGTATTTCATTTCAGGATAAAGTCGTTCTTCTAGTTTCGAAGTTATGTTCGGCAGTGATTCCGTGCCCGATAATATTAATGGAAAAAATTCCTCTACTAAGCAAGAAGTGCTACGTACCCTCCTAAGACCACTACAACTAAGTAAAGCTTCGTATTTTGACCCTGTTAATTTTTCCACAGATAAACTCTCCGTCGAGCTACTCGTCGAACCAATTTCGAACTGTTTGCCACCCGACGAGTGTTTTTTCGATTTTGATTTCCTCGTGTAATCTTGGTCCGCGTGTGGAGTTGTTTTGATTTGCGCGCCGTTTTCGATTAGTCTATCGGACTTCCTAGCGCTGCCCTTTTTCGCTAGAAGCATGTTTAGCTTGTTCGAGACTCTCTTTTTCGGAGAAAAAAACTGCATCGAATTCGATCTGAATATGTTTTGGCTGCTGTCGGAAGGCGTTTGGCTCATGGACTTCACTAGGGTGTTGTACTGCTGCTTGACGTTCGTCAGATTCTTTATATTAAACTGTTTATATTTTTTCTCCGTGACCACATTCAAATCCAACGTCATATCGCCTTTTCCCACGACGCTGCTATTCCTCGATTTCCTGCTACCGCTCAACGTGAAGTAACTATTTAACGGACAGCTGCATATATTTTCCTTGGTACTACTCAGCTTCGTTTTGATATCGTCGTGTAAAAAATATTTCCCGTTGCGCATGTTGTGCTCGCTAGCTACGTTTTTCAAAGTTGGTTCTGTTTTGCAAAACTGCGACCTCCCCAAGTGCTTGCTATCGCCTGTTTGTCCTCTTATGTTACTTAAAGAATAATGGAAATTATTTCTTGAACACATCTGTAATTGATCTAAGGATTTGCTATGTCTGGTGGGAATCGCGAAACTTAGGGGGTCTTCTACGCTGAAAACGTTGGTGCCCGGCAAGGGCTTTTCGGCGTTTTTCCGATTCTCCCACAGTCTACCAATTCCACAAGAACAGTTCGTTTCGTCCAAGTCCAAGCGGTTGCGCGTTTTTGATATCCACGGGTCCGATTCTAAAAATAAATTAAGAATAAACGGTCGGTTGTAGTGTATATACTTACGAAAATTAAATTACCTTCCTGCGGTGTTAACGAGAGTCCCTCGCAGTTCCGTTTTTCGAACTCAAACGGGTCCTGGTACTGATCCTCGAATATCACCGGCATCGTTGCTGTCTCACCGTCCAGTGCTACACAGTGGACGGGAAGAGGTGGTAACATTTGCATATATTTGGATCTGTAAAGAAATTAAATTATTAAATATTATTTCAGTTTTTTAGAAAACGGGGCTCACCTTCTTGCGATTTCCGCGATTACCAAATATTTTTGATAGTTCGTCTCGTAACATCCGAACGCAGAACTCCTTGGGTTGTACACGAGGAAAAACAATTCAGCAAACCTCCTAACCCTTAAGCTGTGATGTTTCTTGCTTAAGTGCTGCTGAATTGCAATTTTACAACTAAATGTTAGTAAAAAATAATTCCACAGCTTGATGTTCTCCGCGCACAGTTCTGCAAGACCCGAGTTTTGTAGAAACGGTCGTTTTTTCATCAACTAAAACACAAGATTTTTAAAATACCCGACTAACAACACGCAAGCGAACGTTTACCTTTGTGCTATCGTACTCATTGTGTTTAACGATCAGGGTGTCGTAGTTTTCCGATACGACTTCCTCCCTTTGCAACAATAACATTTTGTATTCTTTGATGGTGGCCTTCAGATTATTGCTAGAGTCGAGTAGAACATTGTACACCTCTAGATGTACTTGCGGAGATTCGTTAATTCTGCTATAAACCTTATTACTACTCACTAGTAGGACGGGATCCGTTAAAGAAGAACAGTGGGCTGACCTGATTTTACTCCACGATTTTGAACTTTTCGGGGCACTGCAACACAAACGTTTTACATAATCAAAGACGGATCGCAGTCCGAGTCGGAACTTACCAACTTTGCATGTACCGCAGTATCCCCTTCCTGACGGAGCCAGTAAATTAATAAGACGTATTAGTAGAACCGAATTTAAATTAAAGCAACTGTTAATGTCACATATTCCAGAAAATATGTCATATCTCACATATAAATGAATATAAACTAATTAGAAACCCGCAGCACTCAGGTCTTACAATCTATCGTGCATGCCGCCAATAAGAGTTATTTCAATTTAGTTTTTGTACGTGGATTTATTTGGCGCTCTTTAATTTTATTCGATTTAGCAAAATTTTTCGATTAATTAAAACTTTTACTTACTTCATCGAGGGCTGATGTAAGGCAGTCAGTGCGGAGTGTATGGTCAGGGAAATGGCGGACAAATGAAAGTAGTCGAACAGAATAGGTAAGTGGTAATGTAGGCCTTCGATGGGGGACATGTTCAGCTGCAGCGTTCTCGAAGAGACCATTACCATGGATACAGGAGACGTATCGCTGAACCACAACTCCAAAACTAAACAAAACTCCGCCCTCTCCAGGGATTCCCTAAGGTTATTGCCGTCCACTAACATGTGGCATCTGAACAGGACGACGTCTTTTAACGTGACCTCCTCGTTCCTGTAGAGGATCTGGAAGGGTCTGCAGGCACCATAGTTTCCCAAAACGATCGCTGTTCCTAGGCCGGTAGTTACTTCTGGGGTGGTAACTTCTACGTTGACGCTCAGTTTTGAGGAAACGCGCAGTGAACATCGAACTTGGTACATTCTGAAAATCGTAGTATAAGGAGATATCAGATGAGTTCCTTCAACATATTTTATTGCAGTTTCAGATTTATCAGTAATGTTTTGAATATTGTGTTAAGTTAACGTAACACTAGGAGTTGTTCAAACACTCAGTAGCGTCAAATTTCAGGAAATTATAACAATAATGATTTGGTGTGATACTATTTCACGTATTTATATCGGATACTTTTTTTTTACCAGTTAAATTCAAATTGTATGTGTAAAGTGCAATGTGAATTTAAAATTCCCGCCTAAAGATTAGACAAACTTACAGGCTGTGTTCTTTAATTCACCACACGATTCTTGCACCACTTCAACGTGACAGATTATGTAGAGCCAATCAGAATTTAGAACTGTTTAAACAGACCAATAATATTACGCGGATGGAGAGACAAATTTTTAGTTAAAAAAATGACTGGTTTCTATTCCTACCCCGTCTTATGGTTATCCCACCAACACTTGTGGCTAAAAAAATATACGTACCCTCTTTGAAACAAATCGACATTATAAAATTTAAATAGCTCCACAGAAAACTCTATAGTCGACTGCAACTCGCTCATAATATTTAAAACAATATTTTGGCTACATTCCTGCAACAAAGAGAAATCATTAATTATTAACAATTGATAGAACCGACAAACTAATAATAATTTTCCTCTTAGAGCATTAGTAACAGTTTCCAACAGTCAAGAGCAATCGCAATTGATTCGAAACAAAGAATTTTGAACCTTATGTGCGGAATTATGTCGGAATGCGCATGCGTCCGACTGTTGGAATGAAAACTGTTTTGGTTTGTTGGTTCTGTTAAAACTGTCATGATTTTTAATCATATTGTAGCAATTATTATTTATTAAGTGCCTATTTTCAAAATTCGAAGTAATAAAAAGAATTGCGAAATGCTAGGCATACCTAACCTCAAAAAATTGCATTAAAATAAAAAATGAGGGGCAGAAACTATAGGAACGTAATCAATAATTTTTCTGTCATTTATCCATTTTTGAGTTTCAATTAAATAATAAATAAATTGTAAGTAGGTATACCAACCTACTGTTAATAAATTTATCGGAGAATAATCAATCACTGCCAGCTAGATTAATGCACCTCGGCAAAGCCCTGAGAACGCTTGAAACCTTAGTGAAACTTATTTCGGCATCTTGTTTCGCCCTTAGAAACCGTTAAAAAGTTTTATAGGGTTCAAATTTCTAATCAATAGCTTGCCCTATATTTACATTTACGACAGGTGCACATGAAAATGTCAGGTTGGTATATAAATTTAACCGAGCCGTAAAAGCAAAGGGCATGCTAACGAATTGGAAGATTGATGGCAGAGAGACTTACGTTCGGTTTATTAGACAAAATTTGCGCATATGTCAAAGGTCGATTACAAAAATTAAGGACAGTAAAACGAAAAATTGAAAATAAAAAAAATTTAAAATGCGTCAAAAACTATTTATAGGGCGTACTTTCATTAATTAATTGAACGAGTTAAAAAGAATAACTAGGTAGGTAATCAAATGTGACTAGGTACCTATTATAATATAACGAATGTTTTTAACAAAGTAAAAGTGATACCATTTTTTATTTATTCCGGTTCATGAAGTTATTTGACAGCGGATTTGGTGCATTACACTCGTCCAATTTCTTGATGAAGCGACTTCATGAATTACTTCATCAATAAATTGTCAATGTAAAACGTCTTTAAAATAAATTTTTAAGTCAGCTAACGGGTATTTTACCTTTGGCAGTTTCAAACTGAAAAAATATCCAGATCCAAAAAAATAAATATAAAACTGCACTTAGGATTTCGGTATGTCAAGGTAAACTTGTTGAAAGGTGCATACCTAATTTCAGTAAATAGGTTAAAAATATACCTTAAAACACATACATGTAAAATAGTCGTTTACTTTTTATACAACACACAAATTATTCTTGCACTATTCGGCAAAAGTATTAAATATGTTTTATAATTAGACAGCTTTTAGGTAGAATAGTTTGAATAGTTAATTAGCTTTCCCTAAGTATTTTTACATGCGTGTTGTGTTAATTAAATGACAAAAATATATTTGCGTGATTCGAAAAGTGAAATATTATTTGCTTAATCTAATTAGGTATTGTTATTACCAAGATACGCTGTATTCTCAATCAAAACTGAATTTTTTACATAAATATGATTATTTATAAATAATATAAATTACAAAAAAAAACAGATAAATCCAAATCATTAAATTATAATTGTTTTCATTATTGCAAATTTATTTTTGTCTCTATTTCCTGAAATAAATGCACGTAGATCTAGATATTTGATAGAGAAGAAAAATTATCATAATATAATTAGCTCATGTATAATGTACAAAAAAAAAACATCTGAAAGAAAAATCGCATTTCCCTCGCATTGACGCTCGATCGTTGTTCATCTTTTTACTTTTTACTGTGAATAAGATCTTGAATAATTTGTGTATGTCAGACCGCCTGTTGTGAAAAAAATTATAGTTATAAATAAATATAAGGCAAAAATCGTTAAGACCGCCGGGTGACGATCAAGGCCTACGCTTACGGCCTAGGTAAATATAGCGGTGCACGAAAAAACAACGGAAACCTAAAAATAAACTCACCACAAATTAAAATTGTATTCATTCCGACACTACACAGCCCACTCGAGTCTGCTCACTGCGAATACGTCCGCGACCATTTCCAATCCGCATGCAATCGCATTCCCATTAAATTTGATTGAAACCGGAACAAGGGAGGCACTGTTTTATTTGTGTGGAGTTATGTAAAGAATTTTAGGGGGCCCATGCAGCCGCAGCCAGGCAACCAAGATAGCACCCGTGTCCTATTTTACGGCTATGCTTAGGCGTTCACCCGAGGCGCAGGGAATTGCGCACGAGCCACAGGGGCGGATCGGGAGCAGCCGGGGGCAGCAGCACGTGCACGAGGCTGAGGTCAGGGTCGTAATAGGGATCTCCTGGCGGCCGGCTCCGGGGTGAGGTGCCTTTCACCGAAATATTTTTATTCCAAAGATACCACAACGCAACAGAAAAAAATCCCGTTTACAGGATTGTAATAATAAGGATTTTAACTGGTAACAGTCCAAGTATTGAGCCCTGTGGAACACCCGACAGAACATCTACGTTCTTTGATTTATATCCCCAGTGCTGAAGAAATTAGCAATGATTCCATTCACGTCTTCTTCCGGCTAGGTAAAAAAAGCACGTCCACACTTGCAAGCACGTAGTTTTGTCATTTAAACTGACACTGAGCATTTCCACTCTTTGTGCTCGCCGGAAGAACCGACTCCAGCCGGCTCACAGCGAACGGCCAAAGTCGGCTTGGACTACGATCACAATTCACACTAGTAGTTTGAGAGGTTCATGATTACAAGAGAAAAAAAGTAATTAAATAGCGAAAAGTATGTAATACGTACTTTTTTACAGCATGTGTTTAGTTGGTGTCAGTGACTTCTGATATTGGTCTAGTTTAAGTGAACACCCCACCTCGTCCGTTTCATATTCCTGGGAAGTAAACAACTACAGTGACAATAAAAGTAAGCAAAGACACCTTCACTTTATTTCGATTCTCGTGATATGCCCGTTTTCCCTGTTTTTAAATAATAAACTGGTACGTTAAGTTAGGTTAGGTTTTTCTGTATGTACAACAACGAAAAAGACCCAAATCGTAAAAATGATTCATAGTTGCCTCTGGCCTACGTCACAGTCTCTGTATTGTTTCATTGAAACAGCAAGAGCCAAGAAAGCTGTATCTTCATCAAAGTTTTCCATTGTAAATATATTTCATATAAAGATTAATAGATAATTATTTGAAATACCTCAATGAAAATACTCGAAAAGAAACCGGTACAAATTTCTAGGTTATCCGCATCTACTATTTTTGACATTTGCATTTGGACGGTAGACACACACAGCGATGGAGGAGATTCAGAGCACAAGTTGTAGAATTCGGGTGAGTAAACAAATTGTTTACTTGTTTATTACTTAAATAACTAAAATCTATTGGGGCGTTGGTAATAGGAGTTTGAGGTTTGCATTTCCTGAGTTTTTCTTTCGTAAAATTCATCATTCGCTAATAAAATGGTTCAAAAACCGTGGCAATGTTCGATCATAGTGTTAGATGAAAGCCGTTTTCCTCTAAGACGCAGACCATCGTCTGTTAACTTGCAGCACCCAAATCAATGCCGCCGTGATCTAGCTGATTCTGTACAAACAAATAAAACGGTGCATAATGTCAGTTTCCGTATTTAGAGAATTCTTTTATAGTAGGTAGGTACCTACTTACAGTATTTCGAGATGTTTAACAGATTTGGATCAATTTTTTCATCGTATTTAGTTACAAACAAAATAGAACAAAACCTGTTTACGATTCATGTAATACATGCTTCGCAAATTCCTCATGCTTGCGGAGAGCGCTTGAAATTTACACGCTAGACTAATAAATATTTCGCGAGTGCCCTTCTCCCTAAACAGCCTTTAAATAATAAAGTGGTTAACTAACGTATTAAAACTAACTTTGTGTAAATTGCAGTTTGCTCTTAATCTAATAAGCTACTAACATTTCGTGTGGTAGCGGAGATCAGGGAAACTGATACGGCATGGAAACTACAGATTTTAAATAAATGTTTCTATTCTTCTTTGAAGCCGTTATTACAAAAAAACTTGTTTTTTAAGCACCTCTCTGTATTTTTTTTTATTAAATAGAAGAAGGGCTGTGGTATGAGATTCTAGTTGAATATTCTAGTAAAAAGGGCGCTGTTAAGGCATAGTTTAGCACGTCATAATCGTTTTAGTTTATTAATTTCCATTTAAATAATGATTTAATGAAGAAATGAAACGTTAAGGGTCAATTTTTTTGTCACATTTTTCATTTTCTGTTAAAATCCTAACATGGGCTAAAACTCTAGTTTATAGCTACAACTTTCTCATTTGGATTTTTTTTAACTTCAAAAATAAGCTGCACGTAATCATTTCATTTATCACATGTCCCGGATTTCAGTCTGAATTATTTTTAGTGCGGCCCTGGACTAATCAACGTCTGCCACGGTAAACTCGAACTATCGGACGTTAAAAATTTGTATGGGGGGTAAAGATGTGAGAACATTTCGTGCACATTACTGAAATACTTCGCACAGACAGGAAAAACACCCCTAAAAATAGGGGCATGTAGGTATTTATATTCATCTCGTTTCTGTGCAGGTTGTAGGTCGCCTGGAACAATACCGATCCTTATTTTCGCCTGAATCTGAACAATTTATTATTTTTTTTAATGTTTGCGAGTTATGTTGTTAGTTGCAGGGCCAGGTAACATTTTTTTTAAATGAGCACTTAAGTTTGTATTTTTTCTTTCAGCAATTGATAAATGTACATTCAGGAAATAAAGATTCTGGTATTTTATACTGGGTTCTACCAGACTGTATGACAAACTTTAACAGATGGTAGTTGGGTTAATTTCAAACATTTTTTCTTATATGAACATAGATCCGATTCGTTTTTGTTCAGAAGTGACAATCGTTTTAAAAAATATATTTTTATATTTCAATCAAAGTAGCCTGACGGTTTGAACAATATTGAGCCCTGCGTCGTGAAAAAAAGTTATTATTTATTTCATGTTTAAAATTCGATTTTACATATGAAATTTCATTCAAGAGATTGTTACCAAATTCGGTTATTGGCGTGGAAAAGTTGTTGAATTTACGAAATTTATGAACTGACATTTTGAATTATGAAGGAAAATTAACTAGGTATTAGAAAAAATACCTGAAAACTTTGAAACTCTAAATGACCTTACTGATTTCTTCAACATTTGCTTTTAAGAAACATGTGATTTTTAATATTTTTACAAAAAATGCAAGTCAGATAAATTTATATTTTCAGAGGTATTTGTAGATCAGATTAAACATATTATTTTCTATCTAGATTAAGGCTTTTTTCGTGCAATATATCAAAAAAATTCAACAGGAAAACTTGTTCAGAATTCAAATTTATTTCCATGTTCCAAATCGGAAGGACTTAGTCTATTTTGTTTCTCTTATTTTTCCCCATGCTGTTATACTACTTTTTCAAATTTTGTGGAAGTCTGTTTTAATTTTCAATTCATTGATTTATCAAATCAAAAAATATCTGTTATCTTTAAATTTGATATACTCGTATAGTCGTTAATTTTGATTGTGGATAAGATTCCACAATAAAATTGTTGGTATTTTATATGAGAAAGGCTTTAGCTACACAGAAAACACAGGGCTTACTTAATTTTTCAGAAATAAAAATATACATCAAATTAAAAAATATGTTAATAAACGAAAAGAGGATATTTTGAAGTTTTTCAAAACTCTGCTTGGCAAAAATTTAGAAATTATTTTTTCCGCCGTATTTCTATTTTGGGATTTTTTTATCCTTTAATTTTTGTGACTAGAGTATTTCGCTTTGATCTCTGACTTTGTTGTAGAATTTTCATTTGATTTTTCAATTTATTTAAAAGTAAATGTAATACGGAGGTGTATATTTAATGATTTGTCCCTATTAATATACCGCTAAGCTTTTGAAATCTCTGTTATAACTTCCTTTTAGTAGATAAGAGCCGTGCCAGGAGAGATCCTTGTTTATTCTGGCTGAAAGGACTTGCTCGGGTTATTAAATTCCTGGAATTCGCAGTGTCCACATTTTGGCAGTTCATAAAGTATTGAGATACCACGGCATCACGAATACAAGTCGAATGTTTACGTTCTCTGATTCTACAAGTTTTGTCTGAAACATTTTTTTTTAAATTTTTTGTTTTTTTTTAATTAAAAAAAACCTGTTTTTTGAGAATTTTGGACGCCATTTTGCAAATGAAGCCCTAACATTCAGCAAGTAGTAAAGTAAGCTAAAGTAAAATTCAGTTCTAAGGAATTTTTTATAATTTTTACATGATTGTCTTTGTTAGACTAGGCGGTATCTGTTTTGGTTTGGGTGAATCGTATATCCACGGAAGAAAAATATGACATTTTTCGAATTTTTTAAACATATTGTGTCGCCAAAAGTTAAGCCCACATTTTTTTTATGCACATAGAAAAATTTTCATTTCTAGTGATATTTTAAAGCCAAAAAGCCAAAAATCTCCGTGGATATACGATTCACCCAAATATGGACTCTTTGAAACAGACAAACATACTGTCACTTCAGACACAATAACTTCGCTTCTATTCATCCAAATGTCATACAATTTTGACAGTACATCAATGAACGATCTACTTTTCGACGCATATAATGGCCAATAGATGGCCTCGCTAGAAATACCTATTTTTGAAATGCCGGAGGTTGTAAATTCGAAACTGGTATATCTGGTGATTCTGCTCACGAATGATCTTAGTTGTTTCCTAGACATTGCGGGTGTGTGCACTGCATTCGAAATAAAATCAGTTCGGATATAAATTAACAATATTTATTAAATAAAATGTAGGTATAAACGACTTTGTACAGTGGTTACTTTATACATAACACCTATCATAGATTTATACAAGTATGACTTAGGTTATGAACGCATTCTTATAACATAAACTTACGTTCTAAATAAATGCAGTTCTCTGGTCGAAAATTCGAAGAAAAATTACAATTACACGTTTTCCAATGAGGAATTTTTATGTGAATGTTCATGTACAAGTCCTGGAAAGGGCACATAAAAGTTTCAATTGATTGCATTCATTTATTATTCACACTTAAAACTGGGTTAGGACTGAGCTGCTTAATGAAATAATAGTGTGTTTCCCGGCAGTATTTTTGTCATTTATTTTAAATATTCAGTGTCAGCAAAGTTATATTTATTAGAGAAAGTTACGAGATAAAATATTGTAGTATAACAAAATCAGTGGTGCAATAAATTTTAAATAATCGTAAAACTAACCCAATTTTAAACTGTTAGTATAGTCACATGTAAACCAAGAGTCCAAGAACAAGGGTTTAGGGATATTTACATTGATTACACAGCCACATAATTTTCGTCATATACTTTTTAACATAATTTGATACCCCCCTGTATTTTGACCCGCTGACGAAGAGATGGAGCCACCAAAAATGCTCTATTACGTCAGGAGTTTTTCCTAACCTCAAAAAAATTGCTCAAAACCAGCGGAAATTTCGTTTTATTTTCTTAAAATAGCCAAGTTTAAGAAATTAAAGTGCACAAGCGTGTTAATAGGGTCAAAAGCAATAAAGATTCGGATTGAATTTTGATCATTTTACTCATTTGTGATTATATTTAAACTAAAACTGAATACTCCTTAAATAAATTCTTGACGTCAACTCGTATTTGGTGCACTTGCACCCAAATCAAAGTAAATGTCCTCACTGCTGAGCGAGTTTAATTGTACGTTAATTTCGAGTAATTTGAATGACGCCGTGAAGATGGCACCACTTATATATTGCTTCTGTAATCTCGGCCACAGTTGGTAGGGGCCCGTTAGCTGGAGCTATCAACGAAAATGGAGCTATGCCCCAGAAATGCGTGATTTCAGGAGAACAGGCTTTAGCCGGCGGTGGTGGGTCTCAGCTGGCGAGTCTCAGCCAGAACGGGAGGAGGCTCCCTAATCACTCAATATTTAGTTAATTAAACACCAAGTCTGAGTAAAAAATGACTCGATAATGGTTAAATTTAAATCATATTAGAGAAAAAGTCCACTCTAATTTGGAGCAATCCTGACGTGACGGAGCATTTCTAATAGCTCTTCAGTAGGTCAAAATTCTCTTAAAAAGTACATATAAAAAAAAATGTTTGTGTTCCTGTGTTATTTGTATTTAAACATAAATATTTCTTATTTTTATTTACGTCCTAACTAGGTCTTATCAGTAATTTACATTTTATTTAGACAACAAATACAACAATTGCGATGAAGTCGGATATGTTTAATATCGAGCGTTTTTCATTCAGTTTTGGTTCAACTATTATGGCAATGGGTAGATGGTCAACATCTACATTGTATTGTATAATAATTTTCCTCTGGATCTACCATCGAAGGTCGATTCCATTTCCCAGAGACACCTTGTATAGGCAGACGCGGATTTGCAAGGGAACACTAATCTGTCCTTATCCTTACACCTCCTTGGCAGCGAGCGTAACAAAAAAGTCTGGTTTTCCCGAGGATATCACTTTACATTTTCAAAGATATATCGCTTTCATTGCTCGACTGTGACGCTCACTCCACCAACGCACTTTCCTATTTATTTATATCCTGTCGTGCCTTACATTCATCCAGTCCACCGTTAGCTCTTCCTTTAAATTAATTATAAAATTCCCCCGACACTCACTGTTGCACTTCACAAACGAAGAAGGTCTCGAAGGAACACGGCGAGTCGTTCCACTTGAGCCCTTTCCCGTCCCTGTTCCACAACTCCAGGCAGTTCTCCTGTTCGCCGTTCTCGTACTCGAAGTTGTTGGGTTCGCCGGCGTTCCAGTTGGTGAAGGTGATGGGTCGACCTGTGGACATCCAGAAGAAGTTGCCTTCTTCGGCGAGGTCGGTGCCGGAGGTCCAGAAGTGTTCGTTTCCGAAACCTGGGGGAAATAAATCGTCTTAAATGAAATCGAACGCAGAAGCTGGACATGCTCGATTAATCCAAAGTATACAAACAAAATTAAGCCGTGAACAGTTTAAATTTAAGCAGAATACAATCCTCATTTGAACGCTTATGAAGAGCAACGGCGGCTAGCCTCCGCTGTTCTATTAAAATGCCGTATTGCCGCTCTGTGAAGCTGCTACTGCCAGTTTGACTTCACACCTGGCGTGATACGTCGGGATGGTCTATTGAATTTAACAGAAATATTTTACTGGTTTATTTATTCAAATATATCACGTAGGTATTTTATTACCATATATCAACCTCTTTGAACTCTTGCAATTAAATATTTTATCAGATTACTTTTGATGAACGGCTCACTGATACTTACCAAAATCTTTAATATATTTTTCTAATTTGTCATTTTCTTCCTGAGAGGTTATGCTTGCCAGGTGCATACCATGAAACCTGCAGTACTGTGTTGCCCTAAAGTAGTTCGCCTGTAGACAAGAAATTCGGTTAAAATTATTAATTAACAAAAGTTTAAACTAGTTCAAAATATATTTTTAAATTGAGATACTTATTTCAGTGTTTTTTAATGAATGTAAAACCTGCTGGTTTACAAAATATACAGGGTGCTCTACCTAAGAGGAATTCTTCTGTAACTCTGTAACTGTAAACTTTATAAAATTTGTCTGGAATATAAAGAAAATATTTGTAGCTTTACAGGGCGTTCTGTTTCGCGTGGGTGCTACATAACTTTGTTATTTTAAATGGAACACCCTGTATATTATTGCGTTTTTACAGAAAAATCCTGTATACTTAAAATTTTATATAGGACTATATTTTTCATTTGTTGGCAATAAGGACATATTTACATAAAATGGAAATTTATTTCGAAAGAATATACGAAATTAGTTTCTTCAGTATCAGAAGAAAGCGAATGTAATCTCTGTTAGAAATTCAGTTATATCTAGCACCCATAAATTTATCAAAAACATACAGAAATTGTTACCTAAAAAGAAAACAACGTGAAAAATTTACTAATTTGAAAATGCAATAAATTAGTGTACTTTATTGTATAAACGTAGGTAGACATAAATTAGAAAGCGGAAATTCGGACAAAAAATTATTGACCCAAAACGCAAAAGAATGCCTAATTAATAAACTAGGTATATGGTAAGTGTACGAATAATTATTCACACGAATACAGGCAGTACCTAATTAATCATTTTTAATGTCATACAGTTTTACCACGAGCATTTTTGGCAAGATAGCCAATTAGCAACTACTTAGTCGTGTTAGATACCCTGTCGAATATGAAGGAGCAATAACAATACAAGCAATCAATCAAATTGCACACATATCTATTAAACTGATGCTTTTTGGTGGTATTGCAAGAATAAGTTGCATATAACCATAAATAAGGGAGGTATTTCTAAAGTTTTTAGATTGAAACACTAGTCCGATCAAAATAGACGAAATAACGAAAATTCCGACAGAGCTAAATTTTGGTGGAGACCTTTGAAGAATATATTTCTGTTCACTGTTGAACCTTTCCAGGTTTTAAAAAGTATATAATTTTATCAATTGGAGTCCTTGCAGTGAGTAGTATTAATAAGTCAACATCTTCACCAACTACAATAGTTGTATTTGATGCATTAAATTGTTCTACTCGTATTGCTGTTTCAATTATAAGGACATCTGCGTCATTTTGACTAAGGGACTGAGTTTCTTTTGAGTGTATATTCTCAGAATATTATAGTTTATACATACAAGAGACACAAATAGGCTTTTTTCCTTGCATTAAGTGCCTGACTATGTATATACGTGGCATATATGTGCATATCATGTAGAACGTGACTCCTTCAACTTTTCGAATCGCGATATCTCAGGAATGGTAGTTCTTAGGAAAAAAAGTATAAGAATAATTTTTGTAGATAATTTTCAGATCTATAATTTTTGTCTGAACTACTTTTTTGATAAAACTTACCGTTTTCGAAAAAAATCCAAAAAACCTCAAATTTTGACTTTTGATCCCGAATAACTTTTTTAGCACACATGGGATCGGTGGGGACTTTTGACACTTTATTTCTAATGGTGTACCCAAGATCTCCACCAAAATTTAGCTCTGTCAGAATTTTTGTTATTTGACCACTATTTTTATGACTAATTTGACCGGACTACACTCTCTAGACAAGGCAAATAATCTAGGGGGGTAAAGTAAGGTTACAATTGTCCTTTGTCGAAATCATTATTAACGTAAGCAAAAAATATATCAAATTTTGAATGGCAATGGACAAAGTTACTTGTTCAAGAGGTTTGAAAATGCACTTGATTTATTTTTATTTATGTTAAACGTCAAATTTAATGATGATTGAACTGAAAACATTTCTAAACCGTTCACCTTATAGCCACAATCGACTATGAGATTTGCATATTTTTTGCGTCTCTTTATCACCCCAGTTAGATTTATTTCAATTAAGTAATACGTTTAAATTTCTAACGTCATTTATAAACGTATCTCCTAAGGTGAGAAAGTATAGTTGATAATAATTAATTAGACTAGTTAGCAGTTCGTAATTTATTTACTTAATAATTTTTCAAGCGCGCGTATCGATAAAACCATGAATAGCTGCCTGGGTACTTATTAAAAAATTGTAACTGTTATCTTAATAAAGTTATGTTATGGTAATTAATTTGCCACTAATATATTCCTTCGGTTCTGAGTTTCTAATTTAAATATTTTAGACTGTAATAAATTGCACTCGATCCTCGTTATAAAATGATTGATTAAAATAAATTTCTACACTCTGTATAGACAAACATTAGGTATTATTTGAGAATTCTTGTTCGAAATACAGAATACATAAATACATAAAACAAACAGTACCTAATACAATAGTATGAATATAACAGCAGAGAAAACTGATATTCAGTAATTAATAAAACGGTATCAATTTTTTTTAATAGGTTTCGTTTTTATCACACTGTCCTTTGTCCAGCAACCTTGTAGACCTCAAGATAACATCAACTATCACGATAATGTGTGGTTAGACCTGGAAGTAGCCAAATATGCTTTTCACTTGTATTTCATTTCATTTTCAAGGTGGCTATATTATAAATTGTGTTCTATAGTAATCACTAATTTAATTGCTAGCAGTCTGTGTATACTTAACTTTAATCAAAGAATAAGGATCATTTTTTCATTAATAATAATCCTTAAGAAGGTTACGAATTTATCAAATACAGCTAATGGAGTTGAAAGGGAGATAACGCTAATATGATTAATGTTTTTTTTTCTCTTCATTGTGTATGATTTTTATTAGTTAATTATTCCAAAAGTAAATTGTTGTAAAGCCAAAGTTTTAAAGGTAGATGTGCCTTCATATCGTGCAATGAATTTGGCCTTGCAAATAATAAACTAACTCCAAAAAAGTAGAACAAAAACAACGAAAATTAATTAGCTTTATATTTAAAAATTTGTTTACTCCTAATGATTTTGAGTAATATTTTTAAAAGCATAAACTATGTTGCTATATCTGTAAATGGAGATTGTTAATTTTTTTACTAAAATTTAAAAAATGTCACTACTTACGTAATCAATGTTTCTTGTTTTGTAAAATCGTCTTCCTTTAGATAAAAAAAATGTGTTTTAAAATGCGATTTCTCAAGAAATACTGCTCTTTGTCCCATTCTTAATGGGAAACCCTGTATTTCTACAAATCAGGCAACTAATTCCGTACAGTTATTATCTTTCATTTTATTGATGGTCGTCTTGGCAATATTTTAATATAAACTGCCTATTTCCTTTTAGCGGATAAAAGTATAATTAAAATTAACCTTTGAAAAGTATTTTAATGAAATCCACGGGCATCAATCAAGGAGTCATCATCTCATTTAAGGAATTTCATGTTAAATTGAATAGTCATCATTAAGTTACGTGTTCCTTAAATACCTACAATTTTTTTAAAGGTTAAAGTTTAATTGGGTATATAAATAAGGTGTTAAAAAACAAATATGTAGTTTTTTTATGTAAACGAATTTCTAAAAATTGTTTTCTTAATTTTCTCATGTGTTTTTGTCACTGATTGTGGTAAAATTACTTTTTTTAAAGCTTGTCATTTGTAGGGTATACAAGATTTATTTTGGGAGGTAACTAAATACTTTCCAAATTAACAAATGCCCAATCCAATCCAATAGTTTAGAATATAATAATTGGTCTTTTAAAATTACAATATGCAGGAGAAAGTCTAGCTTTTTAGTTTTAATTTTGTTGCTTTAATTAATTTGATTGTCGAATTATATAAGTATGCTTGTGGGTAAGTTCAGTGGGACACCCTGTACACACAAACAAAGTGAAAGCGGTGGATTCTTTTTTAATAAAATATCTTGGAAAATTGCAGTCAATTATAAAATCTCTTTTTAAAGTTTATCTTTGACACTGTATCTCGAAAAAGAGGCGCCTTACTTTTTGCAACACCCCGTGCGTAAATAAATATATATCTTACAATTAATTACGTAAAATTTAAAACGGGAAATACGCCGCTGTACCGCTGATATCTTATTAAGTTTCCTCAATTAAATCTTGCTTAAATCGTTTTGGTTTCGTCATTCGCAATTCCTCTACTGGCAGCACAGAAGTTTTGAATACACGCGATATGTATCACTGTAAATGTTTCCTAATCCTTTGCAAAATATCCTTGCCCGGTAAAAAATCTGATTACATCTTCAGATAATTACAGTTACCTAAGACCCCGGTATCTATTAAAGAATAATTACCTTAAAAAATATCCCGAGGTAATATCTCTTCTCCCCCAGCTTCAGAAGTGGCATGGTCCACCTGTTGGCGGAGGGAAGGGAGTCGTCCACGCAGTTGGGGCAGTCTGCAAAAATGAAAAAAATTACGTACTCTCTCAGTAAATGTTTCCTTTGTAGGCGATTGATTATATCAAAAAAAAAAACAGGGTTAAAACGAAATATGACGTTCAAGCAATTTTATTACATGAATCGTTCAAAGGATCATTTTAGGAAAAATTATTTAGAGAATCGAATTTCCCAGTGAAATGACTTATTTAAAAAATTTAAAAGGAAAATTTTAAGCAAAAAATCGTTAATAAACAATCTGAAAAAAAGCAAAAAAATTCGATTTTTTAATTTTTTTTTACATTTTTACCTCTAGTTTTTTTTTTGAGTACATATGGGTATAGGCAATGCTTTATTTGCAATGTTTTGATTTTGTAGAGAATTGAATTTCCCATCGAAATGGCTTATTTAAAAAATTTAAAAGGAACATTTTATGCAAAAAATCGTTAATAAACAATTAAAAAAAAACAATTATTTTTTTTTACTTTTTTGACTCTATTTTTTTTGGTAGAAGTAGACAAAGAAAATTGCTGTATACAAAAACTAGACGAGATTCTCTTCAAAATGATGCGTTTTCAAAAGTTTTTGGACTAATATTGACTTGAGTTATAACCAGTCAAACTTAAATATTTTTTAGATTTTCGTCGTTTTTAAATAACATAACATTACTGCAAGACTAGACAAAAAAAAATAAATTTTTCGTTACATTTTCAATACCTACGTGATATAAGTCTTTTATTATGAAACAAGTGAAAATTCCTCGAGTGATTTTATCGATCATAAATCGATGGGCGAAAGTGTTACACAAATATGAAATCATAATTCGGGTTTTTTTTCTATACATCAGCGTTGGGGCAATTAAGCCACATTCTATGACACAACAAAAACGAGAAAGTCAAGGAGAAACGACAAATAAACGAGTAAGAAGTACAGCAATCCCTTGATGACACGGATTTTTTTCAGAAAACGTTTAATATTTCCAGATGTCGAATAAAATAGTATTTTTATTTTTTATTCTACACTGAAAGAAATGCGTTTTATTCTTTATTAGAATTCTATATGCCATTATAAGACCATTGTATACTATATGTGACAGTTAAACAGGTGAATATTGGATATAAAACGCGTATTGCTAGCACAGTTGTATAGTGACTATAAACCTTATTCTTTATTAAATTATTGTATAACTAGTATACAACGTTTTTTATACCCTTTACGAAATAATTTCAATAACTGTTATTAAAGTGTTCCATATCGTTATTAGAACATCTAGTACTGGTTATAAGTTTTATAATAATACATTTATTAAACTGTTGTATACTCTGTATTAGTTAAAAATATATGACATTAAGTTTTCAGAAATTTTATTGGATAACTGTAATTACAAGCTAAGGTTCTAATGTAAACATACATAAAACATACTTTTAAGCATTAAAAATGATGACAAATCGCTCCCAAAACTGTCCAGTTTATTTTCTTAGCAACGATGCACCCGTATTTTCTTGTATTACATGAAAATTTGCACTATAACACTTCCACCTTAAGAATGAAGCATCCCCTGAAAGGTTGAGCTTCTTTCGATCTAATTTTATTTCCTCTGGTTGATTGACTTTATACCCATGCTCTTCTTTGTCACCGTCAACCATCCACCGTCTGTTCCTCCATCTTATGTAAAACTTAACATCAGCGATTTCTAATAGGACCTACAAAATAAAAATTTTTAAGATTTAGACAAGATTTACATTTGAAAAAACAAAACAATTGCAAGCCATAAAACAGTTAGATACTTACATAATAATTTTCCATTTCACACAACGCGATATGATCATGTATCCCACAAAACATGTGCACATACTGCCCATTTTCATGAAACTAGACGTGTAATAGTCGTAAGTCGATGCACAGCGGACTGTCGGAAATTTTACGATCATAACCGATTTATGCACCGAGAGGTGACGATCACTTAACCATTATAAGACGCGTTTTACACGTTAAAAATGGAAACATATTCGGTATAAGAACGAATAATTCTGTTAATATAATTGTTATATACAAATTCGGATACTGGTCTTTATACAACAAATCTTCCCTACTATACAATTGGAACATAAAGTCTATAACACCTAATAATGTATAAGTAATTCATTATAACCTTTATTTCATAGATGCATAAGGTGTATTAAGCACCTTCCAGTTAAACTAATTCTATAATGAGTATGGAGATGATTGCTTTTTTTATTAAAAGTCATATATTGGTTATAAAAGTTTTAATATGTTCTATACACATTATTCTAGATAAACAGTTTAATAAGCCCATTTCTTTCAGTGTATAATGAATAAAAAACCTGCCAAATATTTTATTAACAAATTAGATACCTAAATTAAATACAAAATAAATATTTAATGTTAAGCAAACTAATTAAATATGGATAATTATGTAATAGTAGTCTTAATATAATAATTATTAATAATTTACTTCTTTCTCCTAAATTCGCTATTAATATATGATTATGTGAATAATTTATACTACTTTCTATATAATTTAAATTTAACTATCTGGTTGTTTGCAAATTATCAGGGATTAATGAATGTTTATGTCACCCAAGGCACCAAATCAATATTTTAATTATTAATTATGGTTAATTTAATTCTATAATTATATATTTAAAAAAATAAGATTTTGATTTATATAGAATGAATGACCCCCAATTGACAAGAGGAAAAACTTTTATTTTTTATAAAAAGTCACCCTTTTCGCTTGAACCAGTTATTGTATACCTTTTACGCAATAATAAGTTTTTGAAACAATGTCAAAATCACGTTACAAGATACGCATCTTCAGAAAAGACTTGTTGAGAAACTTATTACAACACGTTTTTAGTCACAGAAGTTCTAACAGAAAATTCAATCAGCCAATTATAAATCAAGGTTAAGGGCAGCACAAAATTAAGTATGCTAATCCTTTGTTGAAAAATATTTGACCCCAATTTCGGCGACAAACGCCTACTAGATATGTTTGCAGAGGAAGTAGATTTCACATCAGGTTTTCAGTTTGCTCAAGTTTTTGAGAAACCTATGATTCATATTAATATGTTGGCTTCTTTAGACAAATATTATCAAATCTGTTTAGTGACAGTGTCAAATCTATGTTGTCAAGCGAAAATTCGTTGAATAGAGACAACAAATTATAACCCGGAAATACTATTAATAGTATTAGTTGTACTACCTTCCATTCTAATGTATAATAGGGTTAATCCGGAAATTTTGCTCAATACCCCACTTGTCTCGATGTATGTAGGTATCTGTAATAGTCGGGTCACGAAGAAAACTAGGTTATGCAGATTAATTACCGACAATAAGTATTAAGAGAAGTGGCCAAATTGTTATGTGGTGCTTATCTATTGATATAGATATATCGCTAAAAATAAAAAATTAAAAAAACATTAAATTGTTTGAAGATCCATATTTATCTGTCTGAAATATTTGGCGATGCAATTTATATAATAAATACATACGTGTATGAGGTAAATAACGATTGTCGAGGAATTTGTCAAGATAGTACGATCAAATAAATCTGACACTGTAAATTGAAAAGGCCAAGTAAATGTGTGCCTAAAAGTTTACATAAATTATTAATAAGATGGCCATGACTTGGATACAAACTGCATTTGTGTCATTCTTACAATTGCTAAAGGAACCAGTTGTTGATAAAAATCGCAATAGTTATTTGATAAAGTCCCAAAATTACAAAAAAAAAAGGTGAAAAATATCGAAAATAAAGCGAAAAACGTTAAATTGAACACCAAATTCTGTGATACAATGTGTGCATCATCTTTTATGCAATTTACACCGTTGCAGCGGATGTAAAAGCGACCTCCATCACATGAATAAATCTTATTGTATTTGAAAATCGATTTCGAGAGAATATACTTTTTCCGTGAAATGAATGGGAGAAGTACCTAAATTCATCGTCAGACAAGATCCAGTTTATTAACCTACTTAAAGAATAGTAAGAATTACTACCTAACTAACTACCTAACCTAACCTAACCTAACCTACTTAAAGAATAGTAAGAATTAGATTAATATCACATTTCTTCAAACGTTTTGTAGTTGACATTTTACTTGGTTTAATTGTACGATATTATTAAGACAGAGAAATACAATTTTTATTTGCAATTCGATCTTTTAGTTGCTTTACTTTAGAGAAAATAGTTATGTTGACTTTTATTCCAAAAATGTTCGGGAGTCACGAAATAAACAATATCAGGAAGTCGCTATTCATTTCGTCATCATAAATTCGAAAGTGAGATATCTTAAAGAAATGGCAGAAGCCGTCGTGATGAAAGATTCAGATCTTTTACGATTAACGTTTTTATATTTCGGATCTATGGCATTGACAATGCAAAGCTGAGCGAGGTTGTAAAATTATATAGACATAATTTCACGGACAAAGCTCTATTGAATATTTTTTTATTCCGCTCGCGATCGCACAAGTCTCTTGCTTGGTTGATTGTATCTTGGAGTATGATTGGAATTTAATACTTCTAGGTTTCTTAGCAAATTGTTGAGAGGAGATAGGGAAAGCAGAGAAAAACCAATATTTTGCTCCCGATATTTAATAAAAATCGGGATTTATTCACAAATATATTATCGAGAAATAAATTACAAGATAATGTTTTTTTCTATAGCAAAAAGCTAAAGGAAATCTTTACAGCTACTTCTAGTTTGTTTCGGATATTTGTTAGTTATGCAATCGAGAAAAATTAATATTTTTTACAGAGAAATTGCATCAACCACGGGTAAAAAATGACATGTACATGTCTGCCACTGACTTGAAGCTTCGCATCGATCATTTTATTCGGTACGTATCTAGCGGCAACCTAATGCCTATCCTGTCGTCATCGTCATCTTAGGATGACAGCTTAACAACGCGATAAAAACTTAAGTTATTTGCTGCTTCGTGAATCTAAAAATAATTCTGCGAATAACGAAAGTTGTATGACATTTCCAATTGCAAAAAGTTTAGATTTATGAATCCCGACTAGTTCCAGTTGGGGTCATAAGCAATTCCAGTTTTGCCTTCGAATTTTGGCGGACACAAGTGAAAGTTTTTTACGGCGCATCGATTGAGAGTTACCGCGCTGTCCTAAAAATATAAACTTGTTATCTGATTGGACCGAACAGCTTTAAAAAAGAGATATTTAAGAAAATTTTATCGTGAACAAGGACGTAAACAATGTGTGGCGAAATTATGCATTACGTAAACGACTTGATCCGACTCGAATACAATGGTCCGGTGGTATAAGTGGCCTTTTTTAAATTGGTCCGCATATATTAGTAATTAAGATTATTGTAATGCGTTGTGATTGTAAACGTAAACAATGTTGCCTGATTTTACTTTCGTTTTATTATATTTGGAGTCCTGTGTTGGTTAGTTAAGTACAAAGTTCCAAGACTTTGTTATAAGGAGTAATGTTCTTATTTTTTTTTTTTAATTATATATTTCCAAACTTCTAATTTTTCATTGTAATCAAAATTTAACTTTGGATATTTAACTAATAGTTGGATATTTGTGTTCAAATTTCTGTCATGCGAAATCAAGAATACGAAAACCTCCACCAAAAAACGAAAGTGTGTGTCGTTTTTTAGCCACTTCAGTATGTCAACGAAATTGACAAATGTTTAATACTGTCACCGAATTTTCATTAAAATTTACGTAATTTTTCTGACAACTAAATTGAATTAAACTTTAAACAAACTCTACATTACAAAGAAACGCGATAATCAAAACGGATTAAAATATTTTCGCAATACGTCAATCATTAAAACTTATAACCTTGTATCTCACAAACATATTTTTTTATATTTTTTATAGCAAGTTGAAGTTAAATAATATTTAAGTATTCGCTAATTTAATTTGATAATGAATAATAATTAAAACATGCCTCTTTCACATTTAAACACGTAAAGACAACTAACAACGTTTTTATTAATATTTAGGTACCTCCAACATTATTTTAGCTGTAATTTCTCAAAGGACCTATTGGCATGACGTTAAAAACTTTTTAATGAAACAAGATGTGTACAAAAGAAAAAAGTTCGCTCTTTCCAACGATAATAAAACGAATTTGATTGATTCTGAAAATTCACAAAATTTAACGTATAAAATTCAAAAATGATATTGGATGGCACATATTCAAGCCTCTATAGGTCATGATCAAATGAAAGTGATAGTATTGGAATTATTAGGAAGTTTGTACTTCGTACGAACCGAACATACCTACTTACTTTCAGTTACGGTGTGTCGAAGTACGTGTTTTAATATGCCTTTAAGACTAATTTGCCAACCTACTGTGTGGTACGAATTGTGGTAGACATTCTATATGATTTGATTTGTGAACAACTGTGTGCTCTTTTAGAATATGTTTAACATAAAATAAAGTTACTTTTCTATAGCGCGCGCTTGGTATACGTTATTCTCTAATTGGAATGAAGTACCAATTGTTTACGTATTGTTACTGATATATAAATTTACTTCTATAGCAAACATCTGTAACTCCTAGTAATTGGTACGATGTCAAGTAAAAGCATTTAAGCGTAGAAATTACATGCCATTCATTTGATATAAAGCAGCAATAGTATAATAGATAGATACAATTGAATCACTGTAAAATACGTAAACTAAAAGAAAAATACCGAGGAAGAAAAAGTAGACTAGAAAATAATTCAAACTGACCCATCGTAGAAGTGAATTCTTGAGCAAATTGATATTCTGAATTTATTAACTATATGATACATTTTACTTTATTTATTTAAAAACTGGAAAACAACTGTTCTTGTTTACGAAATGTTTCACAATAATAGTTGTTTACATGTTTTCCATAGAACAAGTCTGACGCGTGCATTATGATGATTTATGATTACTCATGCCGAAGTAATTGCAGTCAAACTTCTTACACCCTGTATATTTTTTTAAACAAGCATCATTATAGAGAGAACGAGAGTTAAAAAAATCTAATTCTAGTCTTGGTAACTCAGGATATCCCAACGTTTACATAGAAATGAAATTGTGATAACATCTTTAGTGTTGTTCGAGACTTTCGCTTACAAATATGTGTCTCAATTATGTAAATAGTTGTGGCAATAACGATAGCCAAATAAGTGAAAATGTCGGAAGATTAAAATATACAAGAGAAATACAGAGTGTCCTCAGAAATGAATACCAAAATATTGAGTTCAACTCATCTGAAGCAAAAAATAATTTCGAATATACAGAAAAGATTTTTGAATTAGTTTTGAAAAAGACGGTTTTTGTTTTCTAATTCAAGCTCGTGGAAACCGTTTGGGTATTAGAGAACAGGAGATAATCGAATGATTAAGGTGGAAACCGCGGTAAAAAAAAAAAAAACACTTTTTGACGATAGTGAATATTCCAAGATTTTTTTCCCATATTTACCTAACCTAACATTTAGGTACCTATTGATGAAACAAATGGAGTTTTTCGAAAAAAAGCATTTTTTATCATATTTAAAACACGAAAAATAGAATATTTATCATTTCATTGATTTTTAGCAAGTGACAATTTCAATCATTCGGATCAACATGGAAGAAAAATCGCAACTATTTGAACTCTTGAGGACTTCTTTGGGATAATTGTAGGTTAAATAATACCGAAAATATCCTTACATTATTCATTATTTGTAAAATAACTTCAAGTTTAACAACAATCCTTAAATATCTACGTAATTTTTTACTTTTGAATCAAGTTTCTTGCATTGAAAAAAAATATTTTATCAAAAAACAATAAGAACGTCTTATGCAGAATACTTTGAAGATCTCAAAATCGTGCTTAGATTTTCTGTACTATCATTTCCGAGTAACTAATTAGCAATGCCAAAAAGGTATTTTTTTCATCATCGTACAAAACTTTTGAACAGCTGAAATTATAGAGGATGAATCAATTGACATGTGCGTGGTATTACCAACAAAAATTACTGAAGGCCCTGAACCTGTTGAACCTTTTTTTTCTCTGGGTTTCATAAGATATTGCAAAGATGGTCAACGATAAACATTTTTGACTTTCAGACCCTGAAACTAGAAACTTCAAGCTTCAATTCAAGTTATAGCCTATTGAAAAATAAAAAAAAATTTGAATGTTCTTTATCCTTTAATTTTTGTGACTAGTTTATTATTTTAATTGTGTTAACTTACTGAATTCTGAAGATGTGTCTTAGTTCTGAACTTGAACTGTTTACAAAAAAAATATTCAAAATTATTGTTGATTCTTTACTTATTACAAGTACAATAATTTTAAAATTCCTGTCAAGGTTGTACAAGAAAATATTACGCAGGAATATTCATTATACGCTATTTATTCAAGTAAATAAAGTAAGTAAGCTGTAAAAGTTCATTCAGACAAAGCGATGATTTTTCAGTTCGATTGACCGCGTCTGTATTTTTTACAACTTTGTAATTCCAGGAACATTATACGGGCAATTAAAGTTTAATGAATCACGTTAAAGTGAAACAAATTAGGTTAATTATAGTTTTTGCAACAAAATACCTACAAGACAACGTTGGTATTGTTCAACGGGTAAAATTTACAATTCAAATTTGTAGAGAAGAAAATAAGTGTTACCGAAGTTGTGTTATTCGAAAAACAAAACTGATGATAGTAACTGTTCATCTAAATCGGAAAAAGTGAAATTCTGCATATCGTAAATTTTGAAAAGATTCGTCGCTTGTACGCTGATTGAAATCTATGAGGCCAGATTAGAAGTGAACGATACATCAAGACAGGGACCTAGACATGTGAAATTCAATTCACAACACGGTAATAGATAAGATAAAATCTCAATAATTATCTGATTTTACACGTACCTATCCCATTCGCAAAGCGTGAGTAAATATATTTATAAATCAACAAGTTCCATATATACCGTCCCTTATCAGATTACGACTTTGTATAATTAAAAACGCGTTGCTTAATTGAAGACGATTTAGCAATACGATGTTGTTAAACAAAAGTAAGGCAAATGAAATAGAAACATAAGTAACAAATCAGGTGTAGATATTCTGTCGGGAAGCCTTGATGATGACTTTTAGGAAAGATACCTACTAGTTTTTACTTGAACGAAATAAACTTGAAAGTAAAAGTATCGAAGCACAAAAGTTTAATGTATGCAAAATATATCGATATTAATATTTTATCTGTTCTTGAACTTATCCCATACTTATTATCCCATACTATGCGCCAAAAAAGTATCTTGCTACTGTTATACGGCTTTTCTTCGTCATAGGTAAATTATTCCTCAACGTAAGTGACTTGTCTAATGCAATAAGTTATCTACTGACCTGAAAAAATGCTAGAAATGTACCTATTCGCCGTAAGAATTAATTTAAATATTAAAAGTTATGTCGAAAAATTATGACTTTTTTCTCGAAGCCGATAACAAACGCGTACTGTCTTTATCACTTAAAAATGTCGACAATTTTGAAAACAACGATAAAAATATGAAAAGTAGGCGTATAATTTTTTTTGAGCCAAAACTGCCGAGGGCCCACAGCTCAGCTGTCAGTAAATTGAACGCATTTATCGAAATAGCTTCAAATAACTGGTTTCCCGCGATGTAAGCATCTTTTATCTTATATTTTTGGTTAGAAAATGGTCTCTGGAATTATGTCGCTGGAATATTTCAACACCCTGTATACTTATCATAAATTTCCCAAATAGTGAGCTACAAATCAAGTATTAAGCGTTTAAATAACGATAAAAATACATACTCATGTTACTATAATCGCTTTGGGGGTAAGTTTGACGCTAACAACTAACTTTCGGGCGAGGTATATTCACCTATAGCGTTGGACGATGATGCACTGTTCCTGATGGAGGGTCCGGCGGCCGACAGGGTCCCTAAGAGGAAGGCGCCGTAGACGAAAAATCCCGGAATCATGTTTTCCCTCGCACTGAACCGACTCGAGTCACTTATTCTTAGACGCGACGCTGAGCCGTGCAAGAATGGCGCACTGGGACCTGCGGAACATACTGAAGGCACCACCGTCTCGTCGGAGCGTTCTTGGCCCGCCGAACGACCTTGCTTGCAGGCGGAGAAAGTGGTTTCTCGCCAGAAGTTGGCTCCAGTGACGATCGGCTTTTGGCGACTCGTACTGTCTTTCTGCATAGCGCGGGTACATCGGGAGGTCCCGGGATGATGCTGGTAACTGACAGTTTTTTGGAAATGCTGATTTTGAAGGAAGTGGCTCGATTGTTTCGTATCTAGGAATCAAATCGTAGGGTAGGGACTCTTTTACACGTTAACATCCCGTCGTATCACGCCAGGTGTGAAGTCAACTGGTAGTAGCAGCTTTTCAGATCAATCAAAATTTTTTTTCTAAAACAATTGTATATGTTTTGCTTTTAGTTTAAATATAGTGACTAGAATAACACTTCGCTAAGCAATCTATTTTACTAAAACATTTTTATTGTCCCTCTCTGACAGTTGTTTTAAAAAAGTAACATCGGGCAACGCCGATAGTGCATTGATATAACTTACCTCGGTAATTCCGGGAGGCCCGGTTTACGCCGCTCAATAGCGGTAATAAAAATAATAGTTTAGTGGCGAAATACAACTACACTAGTCATAGAAATTAAGGGATATTAAAAAAATTCTAAAATTTTCAAAGAGCTGTAACTTGGAGGGAAACGGTCGTAGAGAGAATAAAAATTAAGGAAATTGAAGCTTCAAGTGTTTAGTTTCCAGATCTGGAGTTTAAAATTTTTTAGTGTCAACAGTTTTTGAGTATTCATAAGAAAATCAACGAAAAAAAATTACAAATTTTCGCTTTTCTTTGAACAGTCCTATGGATTTAATTTTTTGTTTTAGGTAAATTCACCATAAAGCTCTCTTAGATAATTTAATTCTGTTCAATTTGAGTGGTTCCGGAGCCTTGTAAGAAGATTTTTCGCTGACTTATCATCGATTAAAAAAAAATCATTTTTGACTTTAGCAATCAATTACTCGGGAAATAATGGTCATACAGAAAATCCAAGCAGGGTTTTGAAAACTGCAAAGTATTCTCTACAAGCCGTAATTATTGGTTTTTGTTAAAAAAAATGGAATATTGGTTACAAAAAAGGTAAAAAATTGTACAATTAGGGATATTTGAATAACTTGGCATAACTTTGCAAATAATAAATAAACTAAGGATATTGACTTTTACTTTTTAACCTCAAAGTGTCCTAAAGAAACCCTGATAATTTCAAAACGCTACAATTTTTTTTTCTTAGTGCCCGGAATATTTGAATTTGTCGTTTTTGCTGAAAATCAGTGTAATAAGTAATTTTTCACTTTTTATTAATTTTTTTTAAAAAGGTTCATTTCCAATAATCCATATTTTCTTCAACAAAAACCGTTCATTATTCTAAAAAAAATGAAAATTTTTTTTTTTATTTTTTCAATTTTTTTTTAACATATCTACAAGTTTCACAAATGTACAAGGTTCCGGAACAGCTCAAATTTAAGAGAATTAAATTATCTGAGAGCTTTAGGTATGGTAAAATTCCCAAAAAAAAGTTTTTGAAGTCCATAGGCCTTTTTAAAGAAAAGCAAAAATTTGCAATTTTTTTTCGTTGATTTTCTTATGATTTCTCAAAAACAGCTGACTCTAAAAAACTAGAAAACTAGACACTTGAAGCTTCAATTTCCTTTTTTTTATTCTCTCTACGACCATTTCCGTTCAAGTTATAGCTTTTTGAAAATCACCCAAAGTTTTTGGATTTTTTTAATATCCCTTAAATTCTGTGCCCAATTTAATTATACACAACCGGAAATAACGCAAATCAATATATGCTTCTTCCCGGTATTTTGATGGACAAACCTAATATGTCCGATTCATGATAACGTATCACTTATTATGGAGGAAAACTCCAGTTAATGATATTACCAACATACTGCAAAGTTACTGCGAATATCAAAAAGATGTCTGATTAAATTTGTAAGTACTTAGGTATCTCTGCTGCGTAAAAATACAAAGAAAATAAAGAGTTAAAGGACGTTTATTACTTTATTTTTGTAAATTCTCGTACTAATATTACACAACTACTTAATTATTTATTATCCATTTATATCTTTGAATTTCCGAAAAAATGTTTTTATGTCATTAAATTAAATGAATAAATTACAGAACATGGTAATTTTGCTTAGAAATTAGGTATACCTTAATTTTATGAAATGTAATTAAACAAAGTGTCGTAACTTTTAAATAAGTTAAAAGTAAAGTTAAAAAAAGGAACCTGCCGTATCCAAATCGTTAAATAACGTTGCGAATCTTCAAATAAATAAACCCTATTCTGTTTCTAATTAATCACTTTGAACAAAAATTATTACGAAATTTATCATGTTGGATACAGCAGTTTTTTAACTAATTATTTACTTGATTATCTACAAAGTTATTTTTTTTGGAATACCTAAATGTATTGTTAGAAAATAGTATTTATAGCATGGTCCAACTTTGAGCAGCATCGCCGTCGTGATTTAAAACGTGCCAATTTTCAAAATATGTTCCATGTTCCTAGGAGACATGTTTAAAATAATATGTTCTATGTTCTGCTTTAGTTTGGTACCATATCTCTAGAAACACTCTGTATACAAAAAGATTTGCAGTCTCTCAAAATTTTTTACTTCTGCCGAATCTCAAACAATTTCAGACTGTAGATTTACATTTCCTTTATTGTTTATTTAAAATAATTTCATCTGGCAGTAAATTCATGTACTTAGTTATTGATTTCGGTAGATAAACCTTATGTAACTATCCCAACTGGACATGAGTAAATGCCAATCTATAAATTTGCTTGTCATATGAAAATACCGGTTCAAATATAGCTGTGTATAGCGATATGAAGCCTGAATTTTGAAAGTTGAAATAGAAATTCTTTATTTCGAGTTCATAAATTGCAATGTTCTAATTATAGAGAAAATTTTAAATTACCTGCCTAATTCACATTGAATGTAGGTAAGTATATATATTTGCCTGTAACAGGTTTGGGTCTGACAACATTCGTTTTTTTATTTTAAATTGGCAACAATTTGAATATATATATTTAGATCTTCTCAAGGCTATTTCAAAGGGCAAAGAACTTTACATTAAAATTCATAGCTATCCACCTGTAATACCATAATCGCTGTTTATGTTGAATAAAACCTGTAGAAACATCCAATTCGGTATAATTTAGACATAAATCGACGTTGTTCCAGTGATGTTATATAAACTTGTACAGTTGTTACAAAATTGCTAACATATCGATATTATATATCTTCCCAGTATTGGGCAGAAGTTAATCCATAAAAATATTTTGAAAATCGATTATTTGTATGTACCTACCTATATGTATTCTGAATACTACATAATTTATTGGCAGTAACTCATATAGCATAGGTATTCAATTCTCGCAACCGAAAGAGTTGCACTAACCAAATTTGGACTTT